TGTACATACGTCTCTCGCGTTGCGTCGCGTGATAATCCCATGCGCGAAAAAATCGTCGAAGGTGAATGCGCGTCCGTGTGATTATCCGCGATGCTCGCTCCGCGTCAATCACCGATAATGAAACTGCCGACGCGGAGACCTCGAGTTTTCGCACATTTCGCACTTGCCTGCGGCCTGGAAGTCCAATTTGAATATAACACGCACGATGAATCATCATTCTCTCGGCGATTAGTTTGCGGCGCGATTGAGTTTTCGTTGCTGTCGCTATACATCTCCCGCCGGATCGTTTCTCACTAGCGCGTTTCTCCGCTATCGAGGATCCTTTCAGCTCGAATTCCTCCCGCTGCCCCCTCCTTCGAAGCTATCGTCTTGACAATTCGCAACAACAACGACGACCGCGATGAGAAAGGAAGCCTTTAACGAGATACGATTCTTCGGTAATTTTTTGATTATAGAAAAATAGCACACGTCAATCTTTTTCTTCGCGCAACAAAGGTGAGAACCTCTCCGATTCGGTGAAAACGGCGGGCTTTTATAATGAATTAATCTTTATAGAATTAACGAACAAGTGACATCGTTTATTTCGAGTGGATTTTGTTTCGATCTTATTGTTAGTGCGAAACTCGTTGAGGTATCGAATTTCGAAATTTGACAAGTCGTGACGAACAACACTTTATGATACTTTTCCTGAAGAGAAACTATAATGCCAGATTGTACAAAAAAAATTATATATATATATATATATATATATATATATATGTGTACGTACGTGCCTACTTAACATTTTCTTTTTGAACACGCTGTATACCTTTCTCCTGTTGTTTAGTTACACTGAAAAAAAGTTCAGTTATCTTGTTATCTTGAAATAATATTTTTATACGCGTATCTGCAAAAACGAGTTATCTCGGGTTAGTAAGGCAAGCGATTAACGGGACTTTTAAATTTTACATGTCGTTTGTAAAATTGCAACGATCTTGCTGAAAAGTTCTGATACGTAAATCTTTTCTTCTTATTTTACTTTTTTTTGTGTGTGTCTTACGGTTGCATTCTAGGAGGCTCGAATTAATTAGAGGGCGCATGTTACATTATAAAAGAAATTGATATTGCGTGAAATTAAAGGATTGCCATCGCGGTTCGGCCGCGACGCAAATTCGTTGACCCAGAGAGAGCTTATTTTTCGCCCGTAAAAACACCCACCGGCTTAAATTAGTTCCCCTTCCTCCCGGCACTGACGACTTATTTGTGGGGCCCCCCGAAACGTTTAATTCGGTCGCGCTTGTGGCTAATTCTATGCCCGTACCGTAATAGTTCCGTATTTATAGTGTATTACGGTAATATCGCGGCGATTAACTTCCATCGTCCATCGTTTTATATTGTCCCCGCGTGATTTTAGAATGTACTTGCAATAATAATGACAAATCCTTCTTTTGGACGGTGCATTAAAAATTGATACGGTTGACACCTTGGCATTGAGCAGCGGCAAAGAGCAACATTAATAAGCGTGTCAAAATTGATGAGTCGCAGAAGTTAAATCTGATATTCAACTGCTACGATGAAAAATAATGCGCGAGGCATGTTGTGAAACAGTACACTTTATATATCGTCGCAATAAATAAACAGATAATATAGCTAACGTCCATCAAAGATATTACATTTATAAGCAACGAACAAAAGAGTACAAGAAGACGTAAGACCGAACTATTCGAGGAGAAAACTGTATTTTTTTTAAAGCGATTTGCAAATTTTTTGTATTCAAATGTACATAATAATAATATATAATTTTCTTGTTGAGAAAAATTCTTTAATTTTTTAAATAACATTTTCTCTTAAAATTTACTAAGATACAAATAGTAAGGGGAAAAGAGCCAATTATTTGTTGTATACATATATCTTTATTTTGAAATTATTGTTATTTATCCGCAGGATAAAAAAATATTTGATGTGTTTTTTTTCAAAATAATTGCTTTCGATTGCTTGAGTTACCTTTACGATTGTTATTATTTCGCCGAAAGTCGTCAGTGACATTACTGGGTGTTGTGATCTGTCTACGATAGATTTTTGTTTTCTTCGGAAACTGAGATAAATGTTCCTTTTTTTTTAGGAGAATACCTGCTACAGAGTGGACGTGCGTTTTATCTCAACACTTGGTTAAAAATTCCGTTGTATTAGCTCGCCGCTCTGCGGTAGCTCAATTATCAATTCCAATTGAAAAACACGCTCTCCTCCCATAACAACGTCGCGCACGACATCGTTCCCTTTTATTCCGTTTGAAAGCCGCAATCTCGCAGTGGTAAACGATTCGACACTTTGTTTGCCGGTCCGTGGGCACTCTGAAGCACACGCCAGCCGGCGCTTTGCGAACTTGTTCGTATATACGCACGGCATCGTAATCGATACATGAAAGTGACACGCGCGCGAGTTTCCATTGAATATTAGGTTTTAAAGCGCGGTCCAGTTCTGTCGCTCTCCGCGAACTGTCGTGCTTATTTATCGCCCGTTAGTATCCTTTTCCCGTGGCATCCCGGGGGAGCGAAACGCGCGTTAAATCCAAAGAGAGAGACAGAGACAAGTGGTGGGATTTGTTTAAAAGCGAAACGTCCCTCTGTTACTGCCCAGTAACTTTTCTGTCCCCTCCCCCCTGTTCAAAATTCTCTCGTGGAAAAATATTTTTCCCGAATTGAACGTTTAAATACTCGATTCCTCTAAGATAAAAAGTATAAATTTTATTTACGCACTATTTTTCTACTATGACTACTGGCCGTCATTCTCCTGCTTTAACAACGAGAAAGCAAAAGCTTCGATGTTTTCACATATGAATACTCTGTCATATTTTTTTTTTACATCGTTTACTATAGATTAATATTTTATAAAATGTAATTTTAATGTTCAAACGAATAACTCGAATATTTTTTCTTTGTGTTGCAGTGTTCTTAATATTCCATCCAGTGATTTCGAAGATTTGCCTCTTATCCAAGACGTGGTGCAACAATGGGTCGAAAGAAGATTCAGATTTCACGTATCACGGACGAACGGAATCGTCAGGTAATTATAAATATTCCGGTCGAACAAAAAGGCTGAACGCGCATTCCTTTATACGTTATACCGATATAACGGCGCTAATTGCAATTAGTACGTATTTTTTGAAAGCTGTAACGAGAAAAATTGGAGCGTACAAGCGGGGAGCAGAGTTCTTTTCATCTTTCATTTTTATCGAGAAATATCGCACAAGGATTTTCGAGTATCCACAAGTCAATCTATTAAATAGACGTTTTAAATTCTATTTTTTGCTGTTCTCTCCGTAAAATATAGAATAATGCATAATTAAGATATTCGTCTCTCGGATAAACACGAGCGGCTCGATAGATACATTTTTTTTTTCCTTAAAATCAATCTAGCACGTTCGCGGTGATAGGGAATATAAGGTGAAAAAACGTAAGAACGCGTATAATAAAAAGATCAGACTCGTTAATTATTGATGCGATCTTACGTAACGTGACTGATCGGGCAATTAAAACGACGCGATGTATTAATTATCGCGAAAAACGAAGAGGTATTCGCGCATTCGCTGCGCCTATCTCTTTTGAAAGCAGCCTTAATGGCTCCCAAACCCCGCTGAGGTTCACCTTCGATGCGACGACCGTCCCCCCTCTGCTTTTATATGCGACAGGTGACCTTTAACAAGCGGAAATTCGGCGTGATGAAGAAGGCGTACGAACTGTCGGTACTGTGCGACTGCGAGATCGCGCTGATTATCTTCAGTTCGAGCAACAAGCTGTACCAGTATGCGAGCACGGACATGGACAAGGTTCTTCTCAAGTACACCGAGTACAACGAACCCCACGAGTCCCTCACCAACAAGAATATTATCGAGGTGAGTCCATTTATCCGCCGCGGATTCTCAGGATGAACGAGGACGCGCCAAGGATCGAAGTCGATTGACGTCGTCGCCGATTTTTCGTAAATTTCTTTCTCTCTCTCTTTCTCTCTCTCGCTCTCTAAAATTTCCGATGGGAAAAAGAATATTTATCTTACACGTTTGTGGACATGTATATATGCGATATATGCCAAGGTCAGGACAGCGGTGTCGAATATACAGGGTGTATCGAAGAAGCTCATTCTTTCTACGAACCGTAAATGATTCGATAAATGCACGGAAAAAATGATTTTGTTAAAAGGTCCTAAAAATTTTACTGAATACAGATCCGAAAATAATATTTTGTTAAATTGTCAAAATAATTTGCTGGAATATTAAAATATAAGCATTACTATAAAACATTTTGATATTCGAGCGATCGATATCATTTTGAATTTTACAAAAAATTATTTTGATAATTGAACAAAAATTATTTTTAGATCTGTATCCAGCAAAGTTGTTCTTTTCGTGTGAAAAAGCGAAACGGAAAGGAGATACTTAACTGTTTCAACGGATTAGAGTATGGATAGATTTTTTTTCGATGGTGTAGCGTTACTGCGTATCAAAGGGTTTTTTCTTTCAGGGATACGAGTGAATAGCAGAGTCAATTTTCAGACTTCAGTTTTCAGACTCGGGTGACCCTTAGTTTAAACTACGGGATTTCAACCTACGGCTTTTATATATATATATATATATATATATACAAATCGTATTAATCAAGACATTTAAAATCGACTAAAATTAAATGAAAGAACAATTAAATGTAACATTTTCAAAAGTCTCTATAACGTGGTTACGTCACACATTTATTCACACATACGAATTATGAGTATGTGTGCGTGTGTGTGTGTGTGTCACTGCATTAAGATGACTGAAGTCTTGGAACAATCGTTTCCGTTTATTTTTTTTTTTAATTGCATTTACATAATCGCATCGGTATAGTTTGCGAAGAATATAAAATCGAAATGTTTCACGCACAACGTCGTCTCTTGCACATTGCGTCTCTTCGCGGAACGCGGTTTCACTTCGATGGGAGCGGCGCGGCGGCGGCGGTGGCTGCGGCGCGCGATCCCTTTTTCCTTTCCTACGCGAGCGTAATTGCGAGAGTAAACCGGGTAGGATAAGAAGCGCGCGTCTTGGTGTTAAATTAACGTGCATGTGAAGGTTGAGTGCCCTCGGGCGGTGTGGTCACGTGAACCTGTCTGCTGACACTTGCAGGCGCTCAACAAGAAGGAGCATAAGGGTGCCATGTCACCAGAGAGCCCGGAACCCGACGCAATCGAATACAATCTTACCCCGCGCACCGAGGCCAAATACACGAAGATCGACGAGGAGTTTCAGATGATGATGCAGAGGCATCAGCACAATGGCAGCAGGGTAAATATTCAAGTCAAATTAAATGTCAGTCGCATCGGGCCGAGCTTATGCAAAAAAAGAAAGAGTTACGATTTCCTCCTTATTACGTCTACCACTTGTATTTATGTAAATGGCTTGATGCCAATTAAACTTGCTTGTCTGACATTTTTATAATCTTTACGGAATGTGATACCTAAATATTTTTACACAATAATTTCTGAGGCGTCAGGCTCTTTCCTTAAAACATCCTATCGAAAGTATTTCGAACTGTCATCTAGTTCTATTTATATGACGACTATCCAAACAATTTGATGTCTTAAATTTCGTCTTCGTCAAAATGACTGACATGTGAATGTCGTGTTTTATTCAAAATCTTATTGTACTGTCGTATATCGTGGCACAGATCAATTTTTCTAAATGTGGTTTACGATTATTTTTGTACTTATATTTCTACAGAGACAGAAGACGTACGTGGTAAGGTTTTTTTTTTTTTACTTTTTCGCGACAATGTTTTTGCAGCAAATGTTAAAGCAGTTGTTAAATATTTCATTATTTAAAAAAATACATGACATATGTATAATTACAAAATTACACATGTACAGCAACAATATTTTATGTATTAGTCTCTTATTATATATTTATTATTATGAATTCATATAAAATTAATATATTGTACATAATTTTGTAAGGGGAGGAGAGAATTAATTTCAGATATTTTAATAATCGATTTAAAATGAGAATAATGAAATGGAATAGAATTACTTCTATTTGACTAAAACAGTAAAGAAATTTGAATTTCTATAAGATATTGTTTTATGTATTTATCTTGATAGAATTGCTTGTCCAATTGTTTTTCGAATATTATTTTCTCCACTGTGTGATACACGAATTAGACAAGAGTTAGATGAGTTTGTACACACGCGTCATTATATTACATAAAGTTAAGATGGAACAATAGCAAATTGCAAATTTGCTATCAACTACTCGGTGCAGCGCTTATATCTATTCACTACAGGTATTATTAATTTGCATTGTGTCTGTTGTGATTGCAGACAATGGGACAATCGAATTATACGCTACCGGTATCTGTACCAGTGAACAGTTATGGCGAATCTCTTCTTGGATCTAGTCCACAGATGGCACATACCAGCATTTCTCCACGTCCATCATCGTCTGAGACGGATTCAGGTAGCTTTAATTAGTAACAGAAGGTTGGAACGGGTCGAATTCCCGACATTTTCAAGAAATTTGCGTTTAACTTGTTAAATTATCCGCCGCAGTATATCCCCCGGGAGGAATGTTGGAAATGAGCAATGGCTATCCTCCGTCAGCGTCGCCGTTGGGTGGTTCACCTAGTCCAGGACCTTCGCCCGCACTCGGGGTTGGTGGGGGTAGTGCAAATAAAGGCAGCAATCCGTCTAGGCATTCGCCGCAACCTCCGCCTCCACCGCCGCCGCCTCATCACAGGGCTAACCTTCGAGTGGTCATACCAACACCACTTGCGCAACCTCTCTCCGAAGACACTAATTATGATGTAATTGTTCCATTATTAACTTTAAACTTTAACCGGATGCTGTAAAAAATGTTTACTTTTCTCTTTGTTTCATAATTATTTTTTCTTAATGTTTCACAATGATTCTCTGAATTTCTCATATTTATAAATTTAAAAAAAATTGTATAACTTACAGTGATATTAAAACATGAGGTGTAAAGCTGGAAATTTAAAATGATTTTCAAAATACAATTAAGAAAAAATAATATTTCTTTTTACTAAAAAATATTTTAAATATTAAAGAAAAAAATTCCTTATTAATTGATATATTATGTATATCATTATGTTTAATAGAAAGATGTTCGAAACTTATCGGAAGTTGTGCACCTACGCTTTCAGAATGCCCATACGCAGTCTGCATTGAACACACCTGTAGTAGCGTTACAAACACCGTCAGTACCAGCCGGATACTCTAGTTTTGGACCAACAGATTACTCCTCGGATCTCGGGGGCCTTACATGGCCCACTCATCAGAGGTATGTTGATGAGTTATATTCGGCAGCCACCATGTCCAGCATCAGGTAAATCATATTTCATAATTATTGTTGTGAAAGAAAGCTATATGTCCAGTTGGTATGACATACTTTTTCAGTTATTTTAATTTCACATTAATTAATAGTTGATACATTTTCGGTTTTATTCGGATTAAAAAGTTAAGCACGTGCAATAAAATATTACACACGTTTTAATAAACTGTAATATTCAAATCTGAATTTACAACTCATTTACTTCAATAGTTAACAAATTTGGATTTAATGTACATAAGAGTTTCAGTTAGTTTCTATTTTCTCATTCTCGTAGTTTTTTTTTCTTTCTGTTTCTCCATTCTCTCTTCGCTTATCTCTTTCATATGCATTATTACTTAATGAAGTAATTTGCACGGAGCTATTATTGGTAGGAGTAATGTCATGTAATATATCGACCACTGGAGCGCTATAGTTTTTTTTCGGTTACAATAGTGTTTTGGCATGTCATTAAATTGTGTGAGTGTTGGGGTATTCTTCATTTTCATTTACAGAATAGATTGTTTGCGCAGTTGAGTCACGCTACTTCTGAGGCGGTACATTATCAAAAGTACATTCCCCACGAGTCACATCATGACTTGATTAACTTTCATTTACACTCTATGCATGATTGCACGTTTTCGAGAGTAGACACAGGGGTCTGGGATACAAAATCACGGATAAAATTATTAACTTCTCACTGAAACTAGACTCGTTGCGATTACGAAACATATGTTCACACACACATACGCGTCTTTTTGAATTTCTAACCGCAGATATTTCTCCTGGTAGTGTCACAAAACTCTTTTTCGATATTGCAGTGGTCTTCCTCACCTAGCTGTATCGAGCAGTACACCACCACCATCCACGTCGCCTTTACCTGTAAAGATAAAGAGTGAACCGATAAGTCCACCCAGAGATCCGCACGGCGGTAACAGCGGGTCCAACGGTGGGCCCAGTAACGCCAGCAATCTACACCATACAAGCTTGAACGTCGGTCCGTCGTCCAGCACCGGTGCCCCGCCGCCACATCACGTGTCTCATCCGGGACCTCAGACACTGAATTTGGTATCGAGCAGGCCGAGCAGTAATCCACCTCCGTCCCACTCGGGTAGCATAACGCCGACAAATCTACCGTCGCCAGGAAGTGGTACGGTCGGTGATATCAGAACAAACCATTCGAGCGGTGGCGGGAACGGAGGGAACAGTTCAGACTACGAGAACGGACCGCTCATGAAACGCTCGAGAATCACGGAAGGTTGGGCGACTTAATGTCGATTAAATTGTTGCACTCATCAGTTGTTTGATACCTCCTCGACGTACAACGGCATATAGTGCTTGTGAGTTCCAGTATATAATTAAACACAAACTCCTTTTAAACGTCTTTGAGACGCGTACTGTCGCGGATAACGATAGCTACGGGATGGGTAACGCTTCCGCCGTAGCTAGCGGAGTGGGAAAATCTGTTTATATTTTGAAGCTGACACAGAATATACATTTATTTGAAGGAAAAAAAAAAAGAAAATACGGTGCCATAATGTTGAAACTTTATATATATATTATATATATGATAGATACATATATATATTTTCATGTATATAATATGAAGTGTTGTTTGTATATATGTCATAAAATTCGTAATAACTTTCGCGATATGGCATTGTGTCCTCGATGCTTGTCGTATGGAAATTTATGCGAAAGGAAAACAGTATGTTATAGGGAATAACGCAGATTACCCAAATTGTGAAATTTCTGAAAGTGTAATACGGAATCTAAAAAAGAGCTTGTGAAAAAAAAATCTACACGTAGTGTAAGATTTATAAAGACCAGACTTACCATTGCAATTCGTTGTTGTTTTGTATGGTATAGTAGTCAGAATACGCCGTAACCCGTTAATATGACCTCGCGCTGCAAAAATATGCTTTGTTCGAAAACACACATTGCCATTGCGCTTCGCAGACATTGCATACACCATTAAATACAACGGCCATTTATTTATGGGCAACTTGTTTGCGGAAAATGCAAACTTTTTTTATTGTAATCTTCTGTCCTGTCCTGTCACAGAATTTTTATCGACAAGAAATTTCGTATTTTATTTTATTTACATTAAGATTTTTATATTCTTGAATTAATCAACTAATTTTACTGTTAACGTGAGTTTATTAACGGTCTTATGGTTCCCGAATGTGTGGAAATCGGCTGCTGTACTCAAACTGTTCATGATATTCTATAGAACAAGATTCGAAATTAATATATTGAGTTACGAAGGTAATACGAGATAGATAGGCATATTATATAGTGTTGATTAATAAAAAAAAAAGATATACACACAGCGCGCGTATAGATATATACATACATATATATATATATACACGTTATATACATTTTCCACAAGTATTTTGCACATTTGTATAAAGAAAGATTATGGAGGAAGAAAACTTGTGAAAACTTTGCAACCCTTGAAGCCTAAAAATAACGAGAGTTTGTATACTACAGGTGTATGCCATATATATTAAAATGTGATTAAACAAAACTTACGATAAGGAGGATTGAGTGATATTAATGTTAATAACTTTAATCGTAAAATTTCTAAAGAAACCAAAATTACATTTTTAAATACAACTTTGTTATATTTGCCAATCGTGATCAATTTTATGTAATTAACCTGTAGTTCTTTTTAATACAAAAACTTCCAGAAGAATTGACTATACAAAGAGAAAAAAAAACGAAAAACGAGGTTCGTTCTTAAGGTGAGAATCTACGTAATCTTTCGTCGCAGAGATCCATTCTGTGATACATAAGAAATTATAAATATATAGAAGAGATTATCCTTTTTGATTCAGAAACACGCGACCTACTTGGCCAACAGTCATATAAAGGTAAATTTAAAACGATATTTGGCAAAACAGGGTTGCAATTGTATAACGATGTAGAATTACCTTCTTCCTGAAATCAGTAAGATGAAAATGTGTCAAGATGGTTTCAATGTATGTTTTACAATCTCAGGATGTATCCTGGCGAGAGTTCGTTCTCGAGAGTTGTATTTGATAAATTATTGTAATTAACATACTAATGGAATACGCAGGTATATGAATGAATAGTGCCTGGCACCATTTGTGGCCCTCCTGTTAGGATGCTTTCCCAAATCGTATATGCAGTACAATTTGTTGATAAAGTCTTAAAAATAATAAGCTACTTAAGGGCGATATATATATATATATATATATATACATATATGTATATGCGAGAAACGATATATGATGTTGTAAGCTTTATAACGTGACTTTTTGACAAATAGCGTGGGAAGGCAACCTCTATTGTAATCGATGGTTGTACGATGGGGTATAACCCTCGAAATTCATTTTCTTTATTAACGCATATTAGAAATGTTTCATATATATATATATATATGACTGTACGGAACAATCGGTATGTGGAATATGGAAGCGTAATGCGGTATAGTCATTAATCTTAATCACGAATTTTTAAGATGATCACAAAGTGCAATCTCTTAGCCAACACACTTTTTTATCAAACAAAAAAAATATAAAGAAATTGTTATTTTTCATAACGAAGAAGTAAACTTTAATGTATTAAAGATATATATGTCTCCACTAGTTATTAAACTTTTCCTATTGACACGAAATTTATTATATTTAATTGATATTTAATTGTAATATATTCTATTCATATATATTACGCGAAAGATGATTGTATATTCCTGGTGTGTACCACCGGGTATAAATGTTTGCAAGTGGATTTATATTTTGAAACTCTTCGTAATTATCGTTTAAATGCATTTGATCGGTATGTTAAAGCAGGAACACGAAGGCGATCTCTCGACGTTGTTTTTTTTTTACCAAGAATATTTTATTCTCGATTGTGACTCTTTCGTAATATTTCGGGCGTAAGGTAAAGAAATGTTAAATCGGATTACGATTAATTTCACGTTTTATCGGCGTTGTTAACATCGGGTAATATCGATAATAATTGAAATTCCTCCCGTATATATTTGTCTCACACACAGGATATAATTTAAATTTAAATCTTAACGGATATTTTATGAATCCGCAAAAAAAACTTGTTAATTCTTTCTCCGAAATGCCCTATTGTGATATCGAAACTAACATGATCCTTCTGCATAATAAGTCCATCTAAGGTCATTTGAGTGTTCCGACATCAACACTTCTCTATAACAGTCACAGTGTGATGTGAAAAGCATGAGCAGTACTTTATATGCAAGGTTTATATGTACTATCTGATCTATTTTACCATAACGTACAGTAACGGTAAATACATAACAAAACCCATAAGAAGTAGGCAATTTGTTAAATGTACGTTAAGTACATGTACGTACACTTCAATGTATATTTTTAATATGAAGTAAAGTGTAAGTTATATCTGTGAGCAAAAAATAAGTTGATGTAATTAAAGATGTATTCGTCTTGATCGGCACAACTTATGAAGATTACATTGTTATTCCAAAGTTTTGCAGAACAGAGAATGAAGGAAATTTGTACCTTGCAATTTTCACTGTTTCGACTGCAAATATTGATGAGAAATATTTTGATCGATTTAAAATTCGCTCGAAAAAATTGTAATGTAGAGAAGAACGCTATCACATAATTATGGAAGACTTTCATATCCCGGTGACTGAAGCTACGTATTCTTCTGCATAAGCTTTTCTTCCTTTACTTGGACAATTCAACGCGCGGTCCAATTGTGTAAAATTGTGCTACTTTGTGTGATATGTATTACGTTTAAAATATATATTGCGTTTAAAAAATATTATTCGTTTAACGTTTGTGCTCTAAATACTCTTTTTGGTTACTTGCCGTGAGTTACGATCATACAGTTGTGCCTCAAGATTTCGACAGATATTCAATACGTAAAAAGTAATGATAATTATTGTAGTTAAAAACTCAGAGACTATTGAAATTGTTGGAACGCTGTGAAACGAAATGGACCATCGTTAGAAAAGAGCCATACGCATAAGATAAATGAGGTCTACGGATGGTTAGACGTTTTATATTGCAACATAAACTAAGATTGTTTGGAAAAAAACAAGGCCATCATAGGCTTTAGGCAATGTTCGCAAATAATCGAATTGCAATGCACGGCACAAGTACCAGATCACTGTAACAATGTAGTAAAATAAAAATACAATGTATATGTACTAGCCACAACTGTTGTCACCACAAATATAAATAAATAAATATATATAAATATATATATTATATATATATATATATACACAATTAAGTTTAAATACAGATTTAAGTACTGGACATATCTGTAAAGCCAAGTAGCATCACATTTTTAAACGTCATAAGGAATATCGTCATTTTACTGTTACTATATCTGTATCTGTGCATTTTGAAACTGAATACGGTATAACCTGTTTGATACGTACACAATCATACCAAAAGTTATGAGATCCTTCATATATTTTTTAATATATAGTTATCATATTGAGTTTCCGCTTAGTTTTGAAATGCACTCTGCAAACAGATGAAGTGTATGACGGGGTACATACTTTAAACATTATTATGTAGTTATACACGTATTTGTATAATACAGTTTAAAGGGGAGGTTGTTCAACAATTCCTCAAATTGCGTACTGTTACAGCTAATTTCGAGGTACAGTGTTACATTGTACAATGTATAAATTTTAAATAGAACAGTATGTATACACAAACACGCGCACACACACACACACACACATCATACACACTCTACACACATACACATGCACACGCACGCAAACATAAACACATACACAAAGGATTTGCATCATGCATACACAACCGAGGATGTATGCATATGTGGATATATATGTATAAAAGTTATTATAATAATGTGTAATAGTAATAACAATACAATATTATAGTCGTGCGTTACGTTAGCTGATAATTGCGAGAGAATAAAGGAAAGTAATTCATATAGTGCCATCATAACTGACTAATTAAGGGAATACCGATTTTACGTTTTAAGTAGTATCATAGGAAGAGTATATTTGAGGAAGAGAGATAAAAAAAAATACTTACAATGTTGAAGACAAAGACTCGGTTTTATGTTTGTAATAATAATTATAATGTTTGCCAAGTTTGTTACATAAGTACGAAGCCATTGAGAAATTTTATGTGCTAAAAAGAAATCTTAAAGACATATTTTATCCTCTTATGCACATTCATACGCAATGCCACACGCAATAGTACTTGAGTACGCAAACACACACGCGACTTTGCGCGCTCATGTGAAGGGGAACGACGTTAAATAACGTGAATACGCTACGGACACGGAATTACAAAAGCCTCCTTTGTTTGTACGTTATACCTTTGGTGCTCGACATTACCCAGTTATTGTTATATACGTTATTATTACTGATCTGTATATGACCATGCTACCATATTGCCTATTATTGGTCAGTATAATCATTGTCAGAGTTAGTGATAAATAATGATTATTTGATAAACGCTCTGTGTACATCACACACATACATACAACATTGTAAACACATACACATTGTGGTTATATTTCAGTGTATCAGCATAATGATATATGATTATTACGATGTTGCCCATAGAATACATTTTACTTGGTTTTTACATTTGGCAGTATTTTATTTTGGTATTATTCTCCATCCACCTGTTGTAGCTTTTTCAACTTACTGTGACTTATACGTGTAGTGCGTTCTCTCTCTCTCTCTCTATCTCTCTCTCATTTTGTATCAACATCATTTGTACTATTTGAGTCAGAAATCTGAGATTGTTTTGTGAATTCATCGTTGCATGCTTCCGCTGTGCATTACTTCGCGATGATTTCTCGTATAATCTTTTATAACTCGATAAGTTTGTTATCATAGAAATGTGTTTCGTTGCTTGTTAATAATGCTCATTTAAACTCATTTAAACTGTGTGTTTTTTTTTTAAGGTAACTGTAATATTGTTAACACGTGAGAATCCAATCTACGTTTATATCAGTCTCGTTGCGTTTTCTAAAATCTTTCACGTTGTCGAATTGCTTATTAAAATTTCATTATGCTAAAAACTATGGACAGACAACTATTTCTATGAATAGTAATCGAAATATTTAACACATTTATGCAGGAAAGATATATAAGAAATAATTATATAAAGTCAATAGTCAATATTACATGACGATGATTAATAGTATATATGCCGTATCTGGCATCTTGCTACACTGGCGTTTTAATTTTTATTTAAAAAAAGAAAATTTTAATATCTACATTTATATCTTGCCATTAAAGAATTAATTTTCTATTTATTCATTATCTTTAATGTTATTACAATCGTTATTTCGCGATGATTGTGTATATTATACGCGTGCAATATCTATTTGTTCACACATAGTTTTCTCTCTTGAAGAATGTAATATATTTTTAATATACAATTTTCTTGTGTAAATCTTTGCGAAATGCGAATATTTTTGTAACGCCGACGTCACTTACGACAATTCGGTTAAAGTGGATCTGTATCTCGGAGAAGGCGCGATGATAAGAGTGAATTTTGAAACGCTTAATGCGTAACGAATTTCTTCTCGTAGATAATTATATCTTAAGGAGTAATCACACTTTGTGCGCGATTGCAAAAGACTACATTTTTTTGTTTGCGAGCGGCTCGATGTCGTATGTATGTGATTACATGTTACGCTAAATACATACACTTTGAAATACGAAAGATATAAGCCACACGTTTCAGGACGTTGGATCCTGTCGGATTCTGTGAAGACGTGCGTTTACAGGCTAACCGACGTGTATTGGCATTGCTTTTTTTTCCGAATTTGCAGTCTTTAAAACAGCTGTCGATGCTTTTTCTCCTTCTTTTATCTTAAATATGTAATTTGTGTTGTCTTCTAATTACGTCGGTTCACAAACACACACACAAAATTCCATTTCGTACGATACGTACGCAAGAGAGAACGAATTATATCTTGTACTTAAATCTGGACCGCGCGATGTGATGATATTTTGTATACTTGTTATAATTAAGCCGGAGATCAGGTGTGACGAATGGACAAATTAAGATACACACGGCATTTTCTCTTACGTTTTTTTTTTTACCGCTTAACTGGAAATGTCATTACCAGTCTGTGTTAATGACTTTCGCTACTTGTACATAATGTGTCCTTCAACCTTTGGCCCATCCTCTCTTTTTTGGACGGTCAAACGGACAATTTAGCTATGTGTTCTAAACCTTAGGGATCTCGACCACGCGTCTGTGCACACACAAAACACACACACACACACACGCACACACATATATACACTTTAAGATAAAAAAACGGTATGTTATTCAGTGTAGCACAATTGGTTTGCACTGAATATCAATCTTCATTGTGACGTCCACTAATGTAATTTGCAACGATTGTAAACACGTAAGATAGACATAATTGACGCTCTCAAAGGGAAGAATCGAGATGATCTGAGATGAAAATGAACTGCGAATAGACATATCTCGTTATCTTAATAATGTGCGAGTACTTAAATAGACTGTATTCGAGAGGAGCGTTTTTTACCCGCGAGGGTATTTTTTTTTATGTGTAAGAGAAGAAAATATTTAATTCCTAGTTTCTCTCGTAGTTTGCAGATTCTGTTTAAATGTCCCGAGCAAGAGACCGGAAGACGTCTCAAAGATCGAACACGTCTTTGCGATGTTTTTTAGGCGGAGAACTTTGTTGTCAGATATCTTTAACTATCACTTGTTGTCACTTCTTTTATACTACAGCTAGAACTATTATTTACAGAAATAGCGATTCGATCCGACATTAATATAGATTATCGATGGGCACATTTAAATGATATATGTCTATCCTTCAATTTATATACGTGACAGTTTTACAAAAAAAAAAAACTTTTCTAATATCATAAAAGGGTAAAAAAAATTTCTGAAGGACATTCAAAATATATTATCTTTCCGAAACTTTATATTTCCTCTATAAATCAAGAGAGATGAAGGTGTAATTTTAATACGCCACGAAGCTTGTGATGATTAATTCTCTCTCTTAAATTTACTTTTTTTATTTTTATTTTTAAGAAAGACGCTCTATCTTACGTGCGTACGACCGTGTGTCTATCCTCTGTAGAAATGCCTTATTATCACGTGCCTCAATTAATATTTAAACTGTTCACCTGCTTATACCTATTACTCGTTAGTCTACATAACGAATATATATGTGTAATATCGAGTTATTCTTTGTACTGCTCTTGTAAATATATTCTGAAGAATTAATGTCACCCTGTCGTCTATATATACTGTGTATACTATCTTGTACATTATACGTTTTTTTTTTCTACCGCTCTTCTCTACTTCTACCGGAATGCATAAATATCTCTCCCTCTCTAAAAGATCGTCTTACAGAAAAACAGCTAAATCGAAAAGAATAAAGTTAACGCTTATATTAATTTAATTCTTATTAATTTTTTTGTTCGTAGTAAGTATATTTATTTGTGCGTTTATAGAAATATTTATAATTCTCAATTGAAAAGCGCTCATGAAAATTTTTTTTGTTTTTGTAATTAATTTTTTTTTTATTACACACTGAAATAAAATTACGATTAATGTAACGCGTTAACGGGTTAATCGAAATTTCGAATATTGTTAAATTGATTTGCAAGTTTTTGTATTTGTTTTTAATTACTTCGACGTCTAATTTCGTAGATCAGAAATTTGCACGAGGCGAATTCCTGACCGAATTGTTTTCCAATTCATTTTTACGGAGAGTCGTCGTACTTTCTTATTAATTTCCCCCGCAAACTGTCCCACGCCTTCGCGTTTCCGCATGCCGCAATACGCAATCCAATTTTTTCCACTTTCCGCCGCTCTCTTGTGTTGCGTTTCCGCATAATTTACTTTCACACTTTTCGTATGTCCGTCCCTACATAACTGTGAAGACTATAGGATCAGCATGTAGCGCGACGTACGAGTTGATCATTTCCTCTCTTGTAATCGTATAATTTCTTTCCATTCCAGCATCGATCACCGGCACGAGCATTATTGATGATAATTTATTGCGCAGAAACCGGAAGATATATAAGAACCTATATAGTCCTCTCGCGAATCTCGTTTGGGAAAGAAGAACGGTATTATAAACGCGAGCTCAAACGTCAAACTTGTAAGCTGTAGATGTTAAAACGCGATAATTCGAAGCAAAAACATGCATATCCTATGCGCAGGATCTTCGAATTCAAAATTCGTATCTTTACGTTATCGCGAAGTTTTTCGTTCACTAAACTCGTTTGAAATTTAAAACTCTCGCCTGAGAGAATCGATTTTACACATGTCGATCGGCATTGCGAGATAACGCAGCTCTATTTCCTCCTGCGTATAACAGATGGCTGCACCGTCGCCAAAACACGCTCGTATCTCCAGGACTATAACCTAACATCTGTGCATCGTCAAGTAACATATTTATGAGCACATGTATTCTATCTTTAATCGTATATGGAACTAGATTTACGTTGACATATTGTAATTTTGTAATTACGCGAGCCGCTGGCGGAAATAAATCTCACTGTGAAATGCCGCCGAAATCTGCGACGGTAATTCGTGAAAATCCCCGGTCCCTTGTTTCGAAAGAAACAATATGTATTATTATTGGAGCAGGTTAGGGGCAACCGGTGTTGAGCATCGTGTTTATTTCAGAATTCCAAACGCAACAGCAGGAGCACGAAGAGCGTGTCGGAACCGCGCGTTCCCCCTAGGACGGTAGACGGTACAAATGACGCTTTGGATCCAGAGGCGCAGGATCGTTTCGAGCTGGAGCTGTGCTGGTGCATACAACAGTTGGAAACGAGCCTCGCTGCCGGCAAGCTGCAGGAGAAGCAGATGCAGGAAGTTGGCAAGCAGTTGCACTCGTTGAAAAGTAACACCGCGCCGTTAATAAAAAAGAGACAGATAATGAGGAGCACGCTGGGTGACTACAGAGTGAGGATGGCTGAGGACGAGCGGAAGTTCAGCAAAGCCGTATCGGCTGTCAAGTTCGCCAGTTCCGCTTCGGCAGACAAGAAATCAATGTTCATTAAGAAAGCGGCTGGATGCAGTACGCAGAATTCCAATAGACAGACGGATGGTCATGGAACGCAAAATACGTCACAAAGTACAAATCAGACTGTTAGTGGTAGTAGTAAGGCCGAAACTCCATTTCAATTTAATTTTCAAGTGCGCCAATAAAATTTACTTCGACATTTATCCAAGGACCAACTCCTATTTGCTCTACTGACATTTTATATGCAGGTTTACATACTTAACTTTAATTTATTGCTTTTAATTAATGAATCATTTATAAGATATGGAGTATAATTTATCGTAGCAAAATTTTGTTTCATTTATGGAAATTTATTATATTTTTATTTGCATTTATATACATTCATGAAGCTAATACAGAAGTACCAAAAATTTTACGTGAATAAAATGGAAATAGGAATCTATTATAAATTGATTTTTAAATAATTTTAGAGGATTTTTTTAAGCTCTAGTATAATTAAAGATTTTAACAAATATAGATAGATATGATATAAAATATAATATAGTTAAGTAAAATATTATTTTTAAGTCTGTGTATACATCGAGGTCCTGTGGCGCAACGGATAACGCGTCTGACTACGGATCAGAAGATTCCAGGTTCGAATCCTGGCAGGATCGATGTTTTTTTAATGAATTTTTCTTGTAGCATACATTTTACTTTTGTATGCAAAAAATTTTAAACTAAAATATTTGTAGAATAAATAATGAAATTAATTGATTAAAACTTTAAGTGAAAAAGGTATGAATACATTTCTTTGAGCAATGTTCACGGGCGAATTTTGTATTTAAAATCGTCTGAAATATAATCTCGAAATATGGCCCGATTATTTTATTGATTTATTTTATTTTTTTTTATTGAAATCTTAAAGCACGAAATCAGATTTAAGATTTTATAAGCGCGGTTTAGAAAGAGAAAGGATTCTTCATATTTTCAAGTGAAAACTTTAAATGCAGGAATTAGAGAGAGAAGGTGAATCTATTAAAACTTGTTTTTTCTTTCTAAAGCAAGACATGATTATGCATTCGTAGTCAGACGCGTTAATTAATTATCCATTGTGTCACAGGATCTCAATAGGTACTTGGAATTAATTGTATTTTAACGAACTACATTGTTTTATATCATACTTATATTTGTGTTTGTTAAAATCTTTACTAGAGCTTAAAAAGAATTCTTTAAATTATTTAAAAATTAATCTATTATGGTTACATTGTGTTTAAAAAAAAATCAGCTTTAATCGTATTAGCCAGTTTTAAGGAATTAGAAGCCAAGCCTTCTCCTTCGCTCTCTAGAGAAGAAAAGAAAAAAACGGCTTTGCAATTGTTACAATATTTTTTAAAATAATGATTGGCTGTACATTATAGTTCCAGTTCTAAGGAGTTTATATAATCGAGCTGGGTATTCTCTTTTTAAAGAAGAGGCAGAAGAAGAAAAATGCAGCTTTGCAAAATTTTGTATATTTAAATCCAGTGAGGAAGGGCAAGCACATTGAAGAATCTCACATTTGCAAAGCTGCTTTTTCCACTGAACGCAGCCAGGGTGGTTCTCATTGTTCTCACGATATCGGTGCGTTCCAAAACACGTCGAAAGAAAACATTTCCCTTTCGACATTCCATATACATATATATGTATAGACGTATATCTATGTGTGGTGTGTAATAATTCGGACCACGTTTCGCTGCGATTCGCGCAGAATCGAAGTTGCCGAGGGAGATTAGTTGTGACCGGCGGCCCGATCGCGTGATACTTGTCTAAGTTCTAACCATGGGTGACAACGTGGTGGCCGACGTGCAAAGTCTGACCTTGACGGAGGATAAGGCACGAATCCCCCCGACTTTACATACGACTCCGCGAACCTCTCTCGCTTTCTGAGTATCGTCAAGCTATTATGCTGACGAGTTTACGTTTTCACGTTTGTTGTAGGCCCGTTTACGGCGGTATTAAGTGGACACATGTGCGGGTTGGTTAAGATGTTTTTTCTCGCCTCTCCGATCCCCGCTCGTGTGCGATTGTTAACGCTATCGCTCTCGAATGCGAATGTTGTTCCATTGCCTAACAATGCAAGTCGCGTTAGAGAACATGCCTTTTGTCTTGTAAAAACATAACCAACCATTGACAACGTCCGAATCGATAATCTGACGTAACCTATGAGCATTATTTCACGCAGTGTCTCTGACGTACACACATATGCGGCCGGCTCACCTGACACGCGACGAGCCTTCGCGTCATTCAACTTGTCTCACTTGAATTGTCGTGACAATTTTTATTTCGAATATTTTATTTTTTTCAGGCGAAATCGTTGAAGGCGAAGAAGAAAGAAAAGGTTGCGCAGGAGATGAAGTCCGTGTCGGAGCTTAAACCTTGGCCCTCCTATATTCAGGTAAACTTCATAAGCATTATAATATAAATGCTTTGACGCTTTTAAAAAGAGACAAATGAAGTTGTAATGCTTTTCAAACTTTCCAAATATAATTATTAATTTTATGATTTGAGTTGTAATATTTTTCTTTGCATGCGATTGTATTGAGTGTATTAATAAAATAAATTTAAGAAGTGCAAGCACAAATATGTTCAAAACTGAATTGTTTTTCTAATTACTTATCGATAGCTTTTCTAGTTTAAGATGCAATTATTAGATCTTCGTTTTAACATGCAATTATGTCTTTATAGGACCGTATTGTCTTATGGGATAAATTGAAAAAGGATTATGATGAGGCAGTGGCGGCGAAGACTCCGGAAAATATAACTGTAACTCTTCCGGACGGCAAGAACGTGCCCGCGCAGTCCTGGCGCACGACTCCTTATGACGTCGCGAAAAGCATCAGCCAAGGGCTGGCGGACAATACTGTGATCGCCAAAGTCAACAACGAACTGTGGGATCTCGACAGACCTCTGGAGTGCGATTGCAAGCTGCAGCTGCTGAAGTTCGATAATCTGGAGGGTCAGCAAGTGTTTTGGCACTCCAGCGCCCACGTCCTCGGGGAAGCCATGGAGAGAGTCTACGGCGGCTGCCTCTGCTACGGCCCTCCCATCGAGAACGGCTTTTACTATGACATGTACCTGGGCGAGAAGGGCATTTCCAACGTGGACTTCCCGTACTTGGAGAGCCTGTACAAGAACATAGTCAAGGAGAAGCAGCCGTTCGAACGGCTGGAGATGACGAAGGAGGATCTCCTGGAGATGTTCAAGTACAACGAGTTCAAGGTGCGGATTATAACCGAGAGGGTGCACACGCCCACCACCACGGCCTACAGGTGCGGTCCGCTGATCGATTTGTGCAGGGGGCCGCACGTGAGGCACACGGGAAAGATCAAGGCCATGAGGATCACGAAGAACTCGTCCACGTATTGGGAGGGGAACGCTAACGCGGAGTCGCTGCAGAGGCTGTACGGGATAAGCTTCCCGGACGCGAAACAGCTGAAGGAGTGGGAGAAGTTCCAGGAGGAGGCGGCGAAGCGGGATCACAGGAAGATCGGTAGGGAGCAGGAGCTGTACTTCTTCCACGAGCTCTCGCCCGGCTCCTGCTTCTTCCAGCCGCGCGGCGCGCACATATACAACACCCTGATCGAGTTCATTCGCTCCGAGTACAGGAAGCGGGGCTTCCAGGAGGTGGTCAGCCCGAACATTTACAACAGCAAGCTGTGGCAGACCTCGGGACACTGGCAGCACTACGCGGAGAACATGTTCTCCTTCGACGTGGAGAAGGAGACCTTCGCGCTCAAGCCCATGAACTGTCCGGGCCACTGCCTGATCTTCGACGTGCGGTGCAGATCCTGGCGCGAGCTGCCGCTCAGACTGGCGGACTTCGGCGTGCTGCATCGCAACGAGCTGTCGGGCGCGTTGACGGGCCTCACGAGGGTGAGACGGTTTCAGCAGGACGACGCGCACATATTCTGCTCCATAGAGCACATCAAGGACGAGATCAGCGGCGCTCTCGACTTCCTGTGGCACGTGTATTCCGTTCTCGGTTTCACGTTCAACTTGTGCCTGTCCACGCGACCCGAGAAGTTCCTGGGCGACATCGCGATCTGGAACGAGGCCGAGAAAGCGTTGGAGGAGAGTCTGAACGCGTTTGGCCAACCGTGGACCCTTAATCCCGAGGACGGGGCGTTCTACGGACCTAAAATCGACATCACCATTATGGACGCGCTCAAGAGGCCTCATCAGACTGCCACGATACAATTGGATTTCCAGTTGCCAATTAGGTTCAATCTATCGTACGTTAAGTAGGTATCCATTAAAAAGCTTTTTCTAAATTTTTGGTAAATCTGGATACAGAGCATTAATTTTGTTTTTAATTATATATTTACAGCGAAGCTGGAGAAAAAACCCGACCGGTTATCATACACAGAGCTATCCTGGGCTCGGTAGAGCGCATGATTGCGATCCTAACGGAATCGTATGGCGGTAAATGGCCGTACTGGCTCTCTCCGCGGCAAGCGATGGTTGTGCCGGTAGCGTCGCAATTCGACGATTATGCTTACGAGGTGAAACAGAAGCTCTGGGACGCTGGCGTGATGGTCGAAGTCGACACCGATCCGAGTGACACTCTAAACAAGAAGATTCGTAATGCTCAGCTTGCACAGTTTAACTTTATACTCGGTACGTACCAAGCTTTTGATAAATAAAATTACAATAAAGAAAAAACGAATAAAACTGTATCGCTCGGTGTTGTTCAGCTTAATAGCTAATAACGTGAATTTTATTACAGTTGTGGGAGAGAAGGAACGTAACGCCGGCACGGTGAATATAAGAACGAGAGACAACGTGGTGCACGGTGAAATGGCGGTGGACGAGTTAATCGCGAAGCTGAAGGTCATGAAGGAAACGAGAGATCAAAGCGGCGAATTAAAATCTTAATTCGGCAATCTGTATTAAAGCAAATTTATTTATTTCTAGATATTGCACGAGATCTTGATAAAACTGTAATGAACTTAATAACGATATGGATCCTTTTTTTTTTACAGTGAATTATTTCTTTGTTTAGGAAAATGTACATTCTTAATTTTTTGTACGTCAATTCTCTTCGATAAATATGGAAAGCCAGGGATATTATTTATGTGCGTTTCACACATAAGTGTACAGCATTTATTATTACATGTGATTAAATGTTTGATCATTCTTCGTATACATTACGTTCTATTATAATATGAATTATCAATTACCACATTTCTACATATCTTATGTTTAACATGTATGTTTAACATATTTTGTTGAACATATTTATACACAATGATACTTATAGTGATGATATTTAAAAATCTTTATTAAAATTTTTTGGCTCTTTAATCGATATTACTTATTTATATAATCCAAGATTTGTCACTGTATCTTTTTTCTGTACATTTGAAATTAAATCTCTGATTTTTCTTTTTTATAATATATATTCGAGTACAAATATTTTAAATATTTCCTTATAGTGATGATATTTTAAAACATTTATTAAAATGTTTTTGTCTCTCTTTAATCAATATTATTTATATAATCTAAGATATATTACTGTATCTTTTTTCTGCATATTTGAAATTAAATCTGATCTTTCTTTTGTAATATATACATTCAAGCATAATAAATATCTGAAACATTTTCTTTTTACTTCAATATTCTCAATTTAATAAACTTTTAGAATCTGTACAGTAAATATAATTGCTCCTTGCGCAATAAAACTTTGAACGCTGCGATCTCAAAAATTTTATTTATGTATTTCTGAATTCTCTGTTGTCAGAAAAAAAAACTTGGCTCTAACAACATGATAAGCAAGACTATTGACTTGCCAATGCCATGAACATTCGAATGGGATTTACGACGCGCACGCCTCGAAACCGCCTAACCTATACCGATACAACGGTGCTGGTTCACGATACTGAATCGATAGACGCGCAAAGTGTTTCGCATCGACATTCTTCTTTTTATTGCAGTAATAATTCTATACATTACCAAGTAACGTATTTATCGCTGTAACGCTGCTCGCGCTATTATTGATGCGATTGATATACGTACAGCGCGACGCTTGATCAGCGCGGTACCACTTCCGGGAAGAAACCGGAGCGACTCCGGACCGGAGCACTACGGGACGTAACAGGACTAGTGCGCGGGCGAGCGAGAGGAGGTGGGGCTGGACAGAACTGTCCTTTAAAATGACGACGGTGGCGATTTCCCCAGCCATGGCACACAATAACAGCGGAATGATACAAGTGGTGAACGAGAGTAACCTAAGCAAGATCGAGAGGTACGTTGTTTTTCTCCCCCCCCGTGTTGTTCCCGCGGGCGAGCGCGGTCATGGTGTTAGGGCAGCGGCCGTAGAGAGATAACTATCGATCCGCTTTGCAGCTTCCTCAACGACACGGCTTACAGAGAAGCCATTGAGAATTCCTCCAATTACAATAGCCGACTGTGCCGGGAACGACGTCTCCGCATGCCTTTCCTCGACTCGCAAACAGGTAAAATTCGTTCGCCCGTCCTGATTAATTTTATTCCGGTTGTCGAATTAACCGACTGGCTGATCAATCGCGCTCTGGCGTTATTGATTTTACCGGGCGAATTTGTTGTGAGCGTCACTGTGAAAATATCTATCTGGAAAAAGATACACAAAATGGCCAATAAAGGTCTTATTCCGTAAAGATTTTTGTCTTTTGGAAAAAAATAATATTGACTTTTTCACACATCGAACTTCTTTATATTGTACAATTAGACCACAAAGTGCATCAATTTTTGGTTTCCTAGCTTAACTTTAAGATAACAATATACAATATTTTATAAATAGATTTTACAAATATATAGAAAGAAAATTTGTTGATCTAATTTATTATTAATTAGTTCCAATTAATTTTTATGCTCCGGTACTCACATTAATTTGCAATTTGCGATATATTATTTACAATAAAATCACCGCAAGAATTTACCAACACAACTTTGTCTTTTAACGATAGTATAGTAGTTTGTTTGGAATTGCAGGTGTTGCACAAAATCACTCTGCACTTTTTATGTCCTCGAGAGAAAGATTACCAGGGTTATTGCACGGCCAGATTTACACTTATCCAAGTAAACGATGGCGAAAGAAACGCCGGCAATATTTAATGCACTATCTGCATCCGAAACGAGGACTGAGAGGAGATACGGAAGATGGAACGGAGGGTGTAGAAACTATTACGCATGTAAATGATGATAGTAAAGATTCAGTGGCACTTAAAGGTAAATAAAATTGAACATTAAATTACATTTAAACAGACTTTTATCGATATTAAATTTATCTTACTTAGATATCTAGTCTTAATTTTTTGTATAAATAAAAAATTGAATTGCTTTCAGATGAACACAGTAAAGACGCTTGGTATTATGACGAACAAGATATGTTAGATATGGATGCCTATGAAGAACCCGATCCTGATAGCGATTATGATTATGAGGAAAGTTACAGCAGTAAACGGAAACGCAGAAAAACCCGTGGAGGTGGTCATCATCCTGCCCGTAGTCATCCACCGTCCACAGATAGTCCAGGTGGCAAACGTACAAAAGTAAGTTACAGATTAAATGTAATCAGTTTAAATAATTTAAATGTACGATATATTAGTATAATGAATCAGTATATCTTTTTTTTTAACTGTAAAGGCACATTATATACAAATTACTGTGTTTACGTAAATTTTGTAGATAATCTATAGATATGATATTAATAAATGTTGGTTTTATTTAACGCAGGGTGGTGGCCGTGGACGCAAAAAGACCAACTACGACTCTGTTGACACTGATAAACCGTTCGTTTGTGACCGTAAGTTTAATCATAGATACAACTACAAATGACCACTTCCTGTTGTTAGTTTATTATAAATATTATTATTATTGTCATTTTGACGTTTATTATTTCAAATAAGTTACAAACGGATGAATTTTCCGTTAAGAAGTTTGTTAATTTTTGTTCTATATTCATATCAATATACATCTATTTACAAGTATTACAACTTGATTATGATATACAAAATATGATGGAAATCCTTGAAATAAATTGTTAAATATTGCAGTTGAATATATGATAATATAATACAGTTGAATAGTCTTATGCAATGATAATCCAGGCAATGGTAATTCAGATACGTAACAAACTATATAATGCGGGAAGGTGCTTTCTATATATATATATATATAATTTTATTTTCTTATTATCGCGATATCTTAATATTGTTTGTTCAGAGAGATTGATCAACATATATATTAGCCGGTAATTTTTTTTCAAGTCTAAATAGCAATATACACAGGAATTTGAATATAAGGATTTTATTGTGCGAGTATTTTATTACTTTATTTTGTTCTTTTCTTGAGTATGGGCAGTCATGGTATGATTCTGAGTGCAAGGCAGAGATTAGTCGTATGGTTCCAAATATCCAAAACTTTGTGCATAAACAGTATATGCTTCTTATATTTACGCTTTCACATGTTTCTCTACATTTACTAATCGGATTAAAAATAAATATGTAAGTGGATATAGTCAAAACGTTCCGTGTAAATAGCTTGCAATTATTTCATTGTGTTAAAATCAAAGATTTTATCATGTTGCAATCTAATTAAACTAACATTTTGTCATTCGACTTTTAATAACTTCATCTCGATTCAAGAATTACTAACATATGGTACTATTATCGAAAGCTTGATTTTTATTTAATATTTTACAATCATCACGTAACATTTAAATTCATAATAAAAATTTTTAATCTTTAATTACTAACTTTTGTACGAGACATGTGAGGATTGAATTACATGTCTCTTTTTAGAGAAACAGCTCCTCTATATACTCATTATGCACAAAATTTATGGGATTCGATTATTTAGCGTAAACAAACAAGAGAAAGAGATAAAGAAAAAAAAAGGATTAGAATAACTCTTTGAACAATCTCGATATTATTTGGAAGGAGTATAATAGTAATTACTAATTTGGTCAAACTTTCCCATAAGACATAAAGTCTATGAATTAACTCGAATGTGCCTGCAATCTGTTTACTTCTTGAAACCACTCCTGTTAGACTAGCAGATAATCTAAAGACATTTGGTCTGGTTATACTAAGCTCGTGTGTTCGAGACACAAATTTTGACAGAGCGTTGAAACTTATCCGTTGACAATCGAGCTGACGTTACCGGCCCAAATATCTTCGGACTAGCTCTATTGACCTGCAATAATAACAGAGCAAGAATGTACTGGCTCACACTGTAGCGAGCTCATTCTGTAGGAGTACAAGCATCAAGCCTTGCATCGTATTAGTTTTTGCTTCTTGGGCTGGAACTCCTTCACTGCTTGTCCACATATAGACTCGTAGGTGGATAGGGATGTGTACTGGTGCGGAAGGTGTGCAAATGCTATACCCCTTTGATACCCCCGCCCTGTCAAGCTTTACTGTCCCGTACTACCTCCCTTTGATCGTCCGTTAAAAACGAGAGGTCTGTCTTATCATTGGACGTTGCATTGGATGGATTGCGGGAAAACAGTATTTGCACTTTTGCAGTATGCAGCGCACGGTATAAGACCAGACCCGGTCTGGTCTACCATTACGGTCATTCCCACTCTACTTCCTCCGGTGATCCTGCTAAGGAACTAAGTCCCAGTCCTGCCGAAGTTGAACCTAGGAGCGTTGCAGACACCGCTGCTTCGAACCAGCCAGGTTGGAGCCAAAATCAGCTCAGTTTTCTCACTTTCCTTTAAGCCGCCCGCGTTCCCTTTAACCCTCCCCCCCCCCTTGAAATTTATGACCCCTTTTGCCTCCCCCTTCCCGCCGCCTCCCCTCCCATTCTGCCATTGTCTTTCAATCTTGTCCCGATCATGCAACTACTCATCCGAGAATTTATCCCAATATAACAATTTAATATATATACATATTTTTTTTACATGTACTGCAAATGTGTGTGCATGCATTGCAAATAAGATATCGTGAACATTTTTTCTTCTCTAACTTTTAAATTTATATTTCTAAATATGTATGTGTGGAATTTTTGCTCTTTCTTACGATGTTCAATTTTTATATTATGTGTCTTAAGCTATTTATATATCATACGGATACAAACGTCATTCAAGTCAGTATGATATAAGCCATTTTATTTTGCATTTTATAATTAATTATTTGTATATATATTTTCTTTACATATATATATATAAGATATAATTTTTACATATGAAAATGGGAATGTTTTAATGAATGAGGAAGCGATAATTATTTGTGCTGCAAGTATTTTGCAGTAGCATGCTTCTAAACAGAATAGTGAAATATTTTACTTCCTTTTATATATAAGAGAGTGGAAAAAAATTATCGAGTTTCTATAGGTTGGTATTTCCTCGGCGCGATTTACGACGTCGTGACTCTTGAGCGTTTTTGTATGTGTGTATGCGTGTTTCTTTTTCATTCTCTTCTTTTTGTTTTTATTAATAGCTCTCTTTTCGTATCCCTTTTTAGCATGATTATTAGTTTTTACGAATGAGTCTAACAAGCGTAAGATTCTCTTCTTTGCTATTTTGACGCTTTTTTTATCACTCCTAGAGCGATTTTGGCTTCGATTCTCCTATTAATGAATGTTGAGGCTTCGTTGAAAAAAAATCAAATAGGTATCTTTGAAGTTACTTGTAGCTCCAATATGTTTGAAAAGCCGTTTGTTTGTATCTGTCTGTACTTGGAATCGATATATATATATATACATCTCGTCGTTATATCTTGGATTTTGCTGCTGGTGATGGAATGTACTGATTGACATATATATGCACTTTGTTATACTTACATATAATCAGATTTGTTTTCTTTGTTGTAACAGTCGGTTGAGTCTTGTGAAGTTTAGAATAATTGATTCCGTTATATCGGTTACATGAGAGATGCGGTGAGAGAGAAAAATGGCCATTACGCGGACTGCTTATGTGCATATTACGTACGTATGTGTATATAAACAGATGTAGATTAATTGATTTATACAGAGACGTTATACAGAGTGTCCCGATTACAATCGCTTTTGTTTATAAGTACTTTTTTTTCACAATTTTGAATATTTCTTCTGCAATTTTTTTTTGCTCATTTTGAATTGATTTCTTCTGCGATTTTTTTTTTTTTACTTTTTTACATTATAATTATAATCATTCTTTAATTAAAAATTAGCACAAGGTGTGCAAGTCTCAGTTCTTTTCAATAATTTATCCTTTATTTGGTTATTATCTGAAAAATGCTCGATGCATAGATACATATATTGCAATACCATTCTTTTGATTTCTATCTGCGTCTCTTTTATTATTGTGAGATGTGACAATGGATCGGGAGGACTCTGTATATATTTGGACGAAAACTGGTCGAGTCGCCTCAGATTCTATTCCGGGGATATTCCTGGCCCTTGCCAGATTCCCACTTCGACATAACCGAATCGATTATAACCGAACGGATAAAAAAAAGAGAGAAAGAGAGAGAAAAAGAGAAAGCAAGAGAGAGAGAGAGAGAGGGAGAATGAGAGAGAGTGAGAAAGAGTCGAATATGAATTTGTCTATTGTCTATTATATAAAAGCCGGTGTGCATGGTCATCAGCTTGTGACGGCAAAGCGCAACTGGGTATGTTGATCGGTTTGTGATCAGGTGGTACACGTCGGGGTCGTCAGAACGCTACCTCCTCGAATACCTCGAGTCCCTCCCCGGCGGCGCCCACCGCCGCACCCGCTGCGGGAACGGCGTCGCAGCCGCAGCAGTCGCAGCAGCAGTTGCAGTCGGCCGTGCAGACGCCCGTCGCACCGGCGTCACCCACCGTCCCGGCGACCAAGGAAGATCACCTGCCGGCGGCGTCCTCGCCCGGCGGCGGCACCGCCGTCACGTCGCTGCCGTCCGCGGACACCGCGGGCCCCACGGGCGGCCCGCCCACACCCGGAGGACCGTCCGCGGAGAAGAAGGCCGGTGGCAAGTCGTCGGCGGCGCAGCCGTCCCCGTACTGCGACTTCTGCCTGGGTGACGCGCGCGAGAACAAGAAGACCGGCGGTTCCGAGGAGCTGGTGTCGTGCAGCGACTGCGGCCGCTCAGGTAAGCCAGAGGAAAAGATCAAGCGCAAGTACACCCGGCGAGCGAATCACAATTAACTCGCACTGTCGCCGGCGTGCGACGACGACGATGACGGCGACGGCGACGGCGACGGCGACGGTGATGATGACTACGACGACGATGACGACGACGACTACGACGACGATGACGACGACGATGACGGTATGATCACGTAGCCACAGGTATTCAATTATGAAATCGATATATTCCCGGATCGACGGTGAGAGCCGTACGTTTTCACGGACGGCGATTCTATTTTCTACGTCTCTTTGCGAGCCTATCGCGCACTGCGTTTCTCTGTGCATACATAGCCAAATACAACTCAAAAAAAAAGAAAGAAAGAAAGAAAGAAAGAAAGGAATCAGCTCTCGTTGCAATATCTTGCGTACGCTTCCTCGCGACACGCGCGAATGTGCGAGGTGACCAACAGCTTATATATATTTACGGGATATGTACATGACTTAGAGATTACTTAGCGACGCGATAATTCAGTCGGCAGCCGATGAAAGCCGATGTCGGAGCGTTACGGGGAGAATAATATGGGTATACATATATATACACATGTATATATATACGTATATATATGCATATATATACACACACACACACACACACACGTGTCTATGCTATAATATAATCGTTTATACTTCCATGTTTCAGCTGTTAATATCGTGAAAGACATTAAGTAATTCGTTAATTTTACGAGCGAGCAAGCAAGCAAGCGTACGTGCCCTTCCTTACGCAAAAGAGGATCTCGCTGTTCTCCATTCGTGTATTCCAAACGTACCTACAATTGTTAAACGCGCAATCGAGATGTTTAGAATTTATCTGTTACACTTGTATTCATCCTTTTTGCCTTTTGCTTTTCTTCGTTAATGCGTTAATCACGAACGAAAAAAAAAAAAAAACACGGTATATGTGTCTACGGCGTTAGTCGTTAAAAAAGTGCGAAACATCCACTATCCGGTTTTTGCAGAGAGACCCCCCCCCACATCTTCTTAAATACGAACCCTTAGGTGTGTTTCCACCGAGATAACGGGGGATAATGTAAATTTTTGAGTTGTATAGGGTTACTACAGTTGTGTCGCGCGCGCGTGACGCGTCCTGTCACACTGCCGCCAAGGGTAGTAGAAAAGCCATGCTGTGTTTGCAACTGGGTGCAATAATTAAGGAGAGGAGAGGGAGAGAGAGAGGGAGAAGCATTCAATTATCTGCACAGTGTAGATCAAACGGTTACGAGCTTTACATACACTAGTCAAGGCGAGGAATACAAAACATCGTTTTGTCAATGGTGCAACTTGTCGCATCTGAGTAATAGGAATTTTCAGGAATTCCTTTACGCTAACGAGCGAATTTGCTGTGATTTGTAGTATCTCGATGATTAGTTCTAAGACATGGAATCGGTAATCGTGGTAATTATTGCGGAGAAAAAAACTAAAAAAAAAAAAAGTCTTCACCGGTGAGAAGAAGTCAAATTTTCGTCGTGTGTGTGTATATGCGTGTTTGGGATCATCGGTGTAGCGAGTCGACGGAATCGTTTGCTTTCTTTCGCGGAATTATAACGCAAATTTGTTAAAATTCCTGTTGCACAGCATACCACCAGAGCACAGCATTGAGAGAGGATGTGTTTGTCTTCTGTTTGACAGTGTATCCCGATATTTTCGTTATTGTGTTAGAAATCAAAAAAAGGAAAAACGAGAGAAGGCGATTGATGCACGGCGTGAGAAACGCACTGGCACAGGTTTAGAAGAATTTTAGATGCAATATATAATATATATACATATACTTTATATATCCAGCACAATCATGAGAATCGTTTTAATGAAAGCAACGTATTTATTGTAAGATAATGAGAGAGCGAGAGAGAGAGAGAGAGAGAGAGAGAGAGAGAGAGAGAGAGAGAGAGAGAGAGAGAGAGGTGTTGATCGCGTCACATTTCAATATTTCTACGTTTTTTCCGAACGCTTGTAAATACTTTTTTTGATGGCTTTGCGTTTGTTGGCTATTACGAGGTTTTTAGATGATGCGAGCTAAGAGCGCAGCGCAGAGAGAGAGAGAGAGAGAGAGAAAGGAATATCGAGGGAGGCGAGAGTGCAATTCTAAGGATTTACCTTTTTTTCGCGACTTCGAAGGGCTTTCGAATAAAAAAGAGATTGAATTATAACGACCGAGTAGGAACGATGTTTTATCTGTTATACGATCATTTCGATTGGTACTTGTTTAATGACTCGTTTATGTGTTCATATTATATTTATTTCTATTAATTGAAAAGTAATCCGCGCGTGTCTCTCTCACGAGAAGCGAATCAGGGATTCGAGAGAGACGTTCGGTACGCAACGTGAGATACGTTTTTACACGGCCGTGTAAAGTGTGCCGTGTAACAATCTCCCGTTGAATAAGCATAAAGCTGTGTGGTTTGAGTAACAATTTGTCCCTCAGACAGGTTATTACTCGAGCGGCCTCATTTTACATCCTCACATTAGCCAGTTTTCACGATTATCGATGTTTCTCTCATCGTGGAGAGAAGCGCTATATGTGAGATGATATTCTGAGGTAGAGAATTTATTTACGTGAATTTTCAATTAAAATGTGTAACACGGAGAGAGTGTTCGATGTATCGATGGTGTATCCGGTGTTTCGTCGTAAAGAGAAAAGGGGAAGAGGAAAAAAGAGAGAGAGAGAGAGAGAGAGACGCGATCGCGCGCGTACTTGTTTGATCGGAAGCCGCTCGTTGATTTTTCTTTCTAGATATGTCGCACATTCCATTGTATCTGCCGCTCTTAATTACCTTTAGTTGTGGGCATTAGCTTCTCCGACCTAAATATAGAATAACCGCCCCCCCCCCTCACTACCGTCCCCTTGCTATATTACTGTTATTTGTAATGACGCAATATATTTATTACATATTTAACGTGCAAGACGAGAAGATAATGGGATAAAGCTACACACTTACAGAACCATAAAGAAGAAGAATTTGTTTCGCTACCGAGTGTTTTTTAGTTAGGTACCTCTCTAACTGACTTGCGTCACACGCATAAATAACGTGACTAAATATCTTCTTGTAGAAATCTGACATAGCTTAGTTTTGTACAAGCTTTGATACTCGTACAAATATCATTTGATTAGGGATAAAACAGGATTTACCGTGTAATGAAATTAATGTAATACCTTATGAGTTTTTCCAGGCATAGAGAACGCGCGCGCGCGAGAGAGAGAGAGAGAGGCGTTTTGTAACTACCAGACGCCGAATTGTTTTGCATTTTTTTTTTTTGCCGATTGCATAGGTATACAATCGCAATTTTTGACAATGTCGCTTAACACTTGTACGCCACACACAAGTTGTAACGTCGTACAATTTTTTTACTTCCTACGCGCTCGTTTTCTTTAAATTTTTTATTTATATTTTTTACAATCGACTTCCGAAGTATTTGGAGATGATTTACAGCCGTGAACGGAGCCGTCTTCTTTAATCGTAGAGCTTCATGTTACAGAGTACTTTCTAATATACATATATTATGTAAACTCGAGTATAGAGAAGGCTAATCGACAAAGATATGTTACAGCTTCTTTACATATAACAATACGATACAACGTAGGATATTCTATTATTTAACATGGCATATAGCTAATATGTGGCAGAGACTAGAGGGTACTACGTTTTAGTTTTCTTGTATAAATTGATATATTATCCCTAGATTGTCGTAAGAAAAACTCACATGGTATAAAAAAAAACAATGGAAGCATGCAGATATATAGTTCCTCCTTGTTATATATAAAATTGAAGATTTGTTATTAGGCAGTTTTAATTAAGCAATACCCAATGAGGCTTATAAATATAGTATTTAAGTCACACTAGTTATATATAAGTATATATATATGGCTTCATATATATATATAATATATATAAAAAATGTGATACGTTATATGAGTTGCGTGTTGTGTGCATGATAATGAAAGAGAGAAAGAGAGAGAGAATTTGCGAGAGAACGCGAGAGAGTGAAAGAGAGCAAGAGAGAGAGAGAGAGAAAAAAGGAGCGAGGGAGAGTGTGCATCTGCGACGTTTATATTGTGCTGCGCAAGAAAGAACGTGAACTATTCCAAGGTACGCCCTGCTATTACTTACCACCTATTATTCCAAATAATAACAGTATGTTCAAAATGCAACATCAAAAAAAAAAAGGAAATTACAGATATCATGAAATAAAATATTCTGTGCGGAAACATGAGGACGTATCATTATTCCGGACGTTTTTAGTGCTGAGGAAAGGTGAAAGACATCTAGAGTCGTACTTTCTTGTTGACCAAATTTCTCATGCTCTTCTTCTCTTGTTAAAAAATAAAAAAGAATTCGATTTGATACGATGAGAGAGCATCGAAAAGTAAATGATTTGTGGAAAAAAAGTAATAATAAAAAAAAAGAACAATAGCTTGGAGTTCACTGTTCTTCGGCACAAGATAACTGTCCTGGCACCTTTCTACTCGCATCCCACGACAGACTCCTCGTCCCAAATTCGTGTTCCTTGACGTGCGTACGTTCTTGTTATAGGGCATCCAACTTGTTTGCAATTCACTGCAAACATGATCGTTTCTGTTCGCAAGTACAGGTGGCAGTGTATCGAGTGCAAATGTTGCTCTATTTGCGGCACCTCGGACAACGATGTAAGTATCTATAATTCCGTAATCTCTCTTCTCGCAAGGCTCTCCGTAAGCAAATGTAGCTTTCACGCCCGCGGATGTTTTAAGGTAGTAGAGGCGAGCGCGAGCGCGAGTCGATTTCGATATTTTATCGCGAGAGAATCGGATTATCGGAGAATCTTTTCGCGTTGTGCCATATTACGTTCACGCTAATTAAATCAATCTCTCGTCTAACGACACGTCGTAAATAATTCTGACATTTATTCCATTACCGAACTTGAGTTAACGCGCTGTCGCGAACGCGTATTTACGCGTATTTACCGTTGGAATTTTATGGAAGACCGATGAAAGTAAATATGTGCTTATTAGTGTTATGCGCTTTTTACGCGATCATGATGGATTGACTTGATATTAACGGTTTGGCGAACTGAAATAGGATCAGTTGCTGTTCTGTGACGACTGTGATCGTGGATACCACATGTATTGTCTGGCACCACCTCTCGCGTCACCTCCCGAGGGCTCCTGGTCTTGCCGCCTATGCATAGCCGAATTTCATCACCGTGATTAAGTCCACTTTCATAGATAAGTCACGGAGCTATCCCATTTGCCGTGGTATAGCGGTCATCTTACTAGGAGAATTAGGAGAGTATTCACGGGCTCACCCCACATAGTATTACAAACGGCGTTTACAACAGACCGGCAAATTTGTTTGAGAGAGAGGGAAAGAGAAAAAAACCTGTGAAAGGCAACGCTTCATCGACTTTACTATTTATTACAATAAATTTGCATTGATCATCGATTCTCCCCCCCCCCCCCCTTAAATTATGTTAATGATAATGATGATAATAATAATAATTAGGAGAATACGTTTATATAGCATAACATTAGATATCTCAGGCACTGGTGATCTCAACGAGATAAAGATGTAAGGAAACACGTATTTATAATTTAACTGAGGTAGCTTCTACGAATAGATTGTATAAAGATATGTCCCAATCCAACTGTTAGCCAGAGGTATGCGAATAGTTCGAATCCGAATTGAATCACAGTGGATTCATTTTTGAAAAGTTCGAAGTCATATAATTTAAGAATTTCAAATTAACAGGATTTTGAAATTTCTTAATTTTGAATCGATCGCCTATTTTGATTGCTTTATTTATATTTTCGATCACTGCTATTTATTAATTACATATTTTCTAGTTTAAAATGTTACATATAATCCTTTGTATTGAAATATAAAACCAAAATAGATCCTCCGTTTGTTCAAATCATTGTGTAAAATAATGTAAGTTGTAAATTTTGATATTTTTTGTATTAAATTAGCGTGTAAATTTGGGAATACTTTATTCGTATTTGTATCGAGAAGAGATTTAATTTGATTTGATTCGTGAAAATTACAGATTCAATTTGATTCGACAACGCAAATGCGTCATTTGCACACCTCTACTTGTTAGCAACAACAAGGTTCCATAGGTGGAACGGACAAAGAGATTACTAATTTTAAAGATAATATGACGGAGTTCGATTTACCGACGATGTTAGATTTTACATTCGTACTGAACAAAGTGTATTTTTTGCTCATTTTAGAAACTGACGTGTGTATGTATATATTATATATACACCTTACAGCGATATTACTAACGTGAACGAACGAATCGATAGAGATTTAATTAAAGATCGCTAAATAGGACAATACTCTCCTAGTTCTAGACTCTACTCTACTCTTAGTCAATGATATTTGAAATTCGGTTGCTTTTCGAACTTTTGCAGTTGCTTAAATTTAACGAAAAAAGTTTGGCGATCTCTCGAAGTTTTCACACTAACTCTTAGCTCCTCGCTATTGACTTGGCTCGGGTCGGGTTTCATAGGGAAAAAGGAAAAAAAAGAAATACGGAAAAAAGAAAACGAAAGAATTCATATTCTAGATCATGATATTAATAGTATTTGTTCCATGAATAGTGATAAATAGAAATATTATCTGTTTCTCTGTATGTATCATGATACTAAAAGCTTTTACACATAGCTATTAGTAGTGGACATAGCTGTCATATACAGTACCGGACTTGCAGTGCCGGAGGAAAAAACATTATATTCTACATGTTCTTCGTCATTTATAGCTCAGTATTTTTATATTTTATATATTAAATGTACTTAATTTAAGACGGCGCTGTAGGTGATATTTGGTATTTTTTGATTTAATGTAAAAAAACTTTTTTCTTCAATTTGACGATCTTACGACCGCCTAATTGTACTATTAGATACACTCGAATTTTTATCAGTTCACCTTCTAAGTTCCCCTTTTCCGATTAGAGTGATGGATTTACATTTTATAATCGCTTACTTTTAACATTATGTATGCAAATTTGAAAATAAATATTAGTTTATACAAAACCGGATTATTAAGTTTAAAGCAGTCTCTATTGCGTGCCATTATATACTTTTTATTCTCTTCGCCGGAGAAAGAAATATAACAAACGAACATGACTCACGAACAGGTGCTATATTTCAGGGATTAGCTTTTTTTTCGAATGTTACGATTACTTTTGTAATATTGGCAGCGATGTTTTAAGCCAAGGGGCACTACGTTCTACGATTATAGTTAATAATTGCTATCCACAAACTGTAATGTAAGATATTAAAAAAAAAAACGTTAGTAATCCGAAAAATATAACATTTTTCATAAAAATAGCATTAACATAAATACATGTTGGACTATTTATTTCAGACACTTCCACACATTCTCAATTTTTCCCCAGTGTAAAGTAAGAAGTATCTTCCCCATTTTTTTTCCAGCGCATCAAGCGATAGCGATAAGACATAAGTCAATCGCATTTTATATCTCCGTTAATCGATCTCGACTAAAATCTCGGACAGATCCTTCCGCTGTAAATCGGGTACAGTGGCGTCTTCAGCTGGATAACCAACCGGCAGAAGTAAAACGAGCTTCTCGTTGAATGGACGTCCAAGGAGACTGCGTATGGCCGGTCCGCAATTCATTGGCGTGGATGTAAGTGTCACCAATCCGGTATACTGCATTTAAGAGTGACATGCAATAAATTAAATTAAATATAAACCCAATCATTACGCAAGAGAGAAATATCCCAAAGTTCACGAAATATACACGTTACATTCGTTACGGAACGCTTAAACAAAATTTTGTAAATACGTTTGATCAGAGATCATTTTTTTTCGAATCGATATTTCCTTTTCTCTTCATAAATTAATTTATTTTAGTACATATACTCGATTTTTCATAATTTTTTGTGAACAAGGTTTGTTGCAAAAAAAAGATTTATTTTTGAAGGTAACTCAATGACGTTTGTGACCAAGGAGACATTTAAATAAATTACCTGTATAGCAGTAATGAGAATTCCACATGCGATAGAAACGCTCATTTCGTGATAGTAGTGAATTTTTTTCTGTCCATTTGGCAAAATGCCGTAAGTTTGCTTGAACACGAGTATCAGATACGGTGCTGCGGTGATGTATTCCTTTATCCAATTAGTTTTTAGCGGAGTCAAGTCAGTCGTCCATTTTATGCCCATCCTCTTCTTGTAATTGATCTCCTCCTCCTTCTCGATGATATCTCTGATTTTTGATTTCGTAGTCGGATCGGATATCGCAACAAAGGTCCATGGCTCTGTATGTGCGCCGCTGGGAGCAGTGCCTAAGTATAATAAAAGGTGAGTACCTATGTAACTTGAAAGGACGAGATATGTAATTTATATTTTGAATTAATTTATTCTAAGCACGTTTAGTGTCAGCATCGATGACATTAAATTTTAATTTCGATATTTTAACGCATAATTTATATTCTGGATCATCTTTTTTTTATATTTTTGCAATATCTGTTCACATCTTGAAAAAGTCTGAAACGCTGGAGAATTTTAATCTTTTTATCGTGCAGTGCTTTTGCGAGCTTGAAATTCGCTTCGCGAATTTTGAAAGAGACTTTATTTGGCAAGTGTCACATCTCGAAGTACCTGCGGCCCTTATAATTTCACGAATAACTTCCTTCGGAACGGGATTCGTGCTAAAGAATCTTAAGGTCCGCCTCGCTGCAGCTACTTGATAAAATTCTGATGCACGAGCCAGTAATTCCTTTTCGGGTTTCCGGACGTAGTGGTACGGTATATGCTTGAGATCATATGGCAAAGCTGGTTCTACTTTATATGATTTTTTGTCCAGTTCTGCAAGCAACGAAAACAATGCGAAGTATTTTATCTTATCGAAATATTCTTATCGAACTGCTTAGATTTATGTGTATACTTTCTGATAATATTCTACACAGAACTACTAAAAGCTGAATCAAAAACGTAAAATTTAAACTTTAGATTGCGTTAATTCGTATACAGAATAAAATTATTTTGGAATAGTTGTGAAAGAATTTTGGGTCCTTCTCTTTCTAACATTGAAAACAGAATAAGAATCGCTTGATACTATCGTGAGATAGATTTTTTAACATTAAAACTATCGACGATTATTTCGACTATTTAAATTTATTATTATATACATCTATATATATTTTTTTAAAATAAAGAATAAGAAGAGTAAAACTAAATCAATTAATTGAATTATTTACATATTGCTATAAAAGTCACGAAAAATCTCTGAAAATGTGACTAAAACCGTTATGAATAAAAATCACTATCATTTTAATTGCTTTAATAATTCTAAAATGTATAATATTTCTGATCACGATAAGTTAAGAAAATTTAGCATTTTATTAAGTTCATTAATTTTTACTCTAGGCACATGCTGTGGCACATAAAAAAAACGTAAGCAATAAGGTGTTAGAAAATCAGTCAATTATAGTCGAGGCACATAAGGCAATAACGTAAGCAGGAGCTGTAAGTAAAATTTATTGATTTATTTACTGCTTACTATACATTTTCTTATCATTATCATGTTATTTTCTATGCGAAATCTCAATTACTCCAATAAAATAAGTGATGTTATATAAGATCTCAAGCGAAAAACCTAGGCATTTCCACCATTCTTTAGCGTTTTTTTTTTCCAAAACGAGAGGCGAATGTGACCGACAATCACATTTCCACTCAACGTTTCGCACGTAAGAAGTATTCGCTGTGACATTACTTTCACTTGGATCCGTGGATTCGTCGGATGTCGTGAATGCATGCGTCCCACTTTTCTCGGCAGCAGGTCGTCCGAAGAATTTTTTAAACAAAACGAACGAAACAACGACGATGAGTATGTGATAGAAGTACTTAATTGTGAAGGGCGCGTATTCGGCGAACATCTCTGTAGCACAGTGTAGATCAGTCTACAGCGCGGCTTTTCACTTACTGGTCTACTATCGAGTAATGGTTGCAATTCAACTGATATTGTACGAATGATCAGATAAAATCAAATGATGTTAGTATCAAGTGTTTACTAAAAAAAAGTGAATGTACGATTCAAGGCGCGAAGAGGAAGGGAAGAAGGACGAGAATTAAGTGGGGAGAGACTCTATTTTTCTTTCTCTTTACTTCGATAACCTTCGATAACCTTCAAAATTAAATTTTATAAAAACTTTTTCAAATGCACTACTGCAGAAAAAGAACGCCATTGTAAGCATATTTATTTTACGTACGTTATTTTACAATATGTTATTTTAGAAGAGAGAATTGCGCGAACAGAAAGATCGTAAGCAACAACGGGAATGTCAGCTAAAGGAATTAAGCTATAGCACGTGGAATGTATATATATTTTACCTAATATATATTTATATAATATATATTAATGTATATATATTTTACCTTCGAAAGCGTTAAGAATATGAAAAAATATATGCTGGTTTTATAAAAATTTGGCTTTCTTAGTCTAAAAATGATCTCCGCCATTTGCTCCATATATGTAAATAGTTTTTTCATAACTTGTGTATATAGATCATTTTTATGTTTTACTACATGTAACTGAATGAAATTAATAGTGAAAAATTAACATGCAACCTATTTTGTGATCAGTTCTAAATATACTTGACAAAATATAATACAATATAACAGAAAAATTATAATGGGATATTTGCATTCGGCTTTACTTAGGATTTATTTTTGCCTTTTATAATTTTGTATTGTAATTTTATTTTACATTTTTATTTATATTATATTATTCGATCCGATTATATCACATAAGTATAATACAAATGCACTTTTCACATAATGCAGTAAAATGGAATTAAATGCTGATCATTTGCACTTTTCATTGTCAGGTTGGAGGCTAAAAAACGAGCAATATCGCCTTTATGGCGTGTTAATTTGAACAGTTGACGTTTAATATTGTTACGAAATACTATATTTATCGCAACTTTGTTTATAAAACAGCTGTCTGGGAGAGAGGATCTTGCACGCTCTTCGTTTACTTTCGATATCTTGTTTGCGACTCCTAACGGAAATTCTTAAAATAAGGGACAAACAACTTCTTGCATGTTTAAACACAGGACCTTCAAAACGATGTGATTTTTCTTTTGAATATTGCATCTTATCTCATGAGCTACAGAGCGATAGCAAGCTCAAAACTGTTTTATTTTAAATAAAAATAAAGATTAACGAAGACTGCAATAAATATATATATATACTAAATATGAAAGAATTTATGTGCCATTTGGAGAAAGCAAGTAGAGCGACTAGATTCTATCCTGTTCCAGATCTCGTCTCTCGTTTCTTAATGACGCTCATTTCTTCATCTTTTTTTTGCTGCTTATTTCATATTTTGTAATATACGATTCAGTAATTAACTGACCAAAGAAAACAATGCAGTTGAATGATAATATAGCGCAAGTGTAGATACTCGAATTCAGACAGCAAATTTGTTAGCGATGTTTGTGTCACCCCGTTAAATTTCTAAGATAAACTTCTAGTTTCCTGATTGTATTAACTACACCATAAGCCGAGTTTATTCTGACGACAGTTATCTTGGTTCGTTGAAATTTGTGAAAATCACTTAGCGTTTCATTTGCATTTTAAACGCGTTTCTCCTTCATTTATAACCGAATACGGCGATACTGAATGTAATTGAAACCGAGAATTAGTTTGTAGAAATTTCTAATTGCATTATACACTTGCTCCATTATTTACACATTACATAATTTTGACCAGTAACAACCTAATACAACACGTCGATAATAAGAGTTAAAAAAATATACTAAAAGGAAAATACTAAATTAAGAAATTTTCTCGTACCTATACATTTTTTTATTATAAAATATGTATAATAGGATATTTTTTTTGTATTTCTGTGTATAAAACTTTTGCAAGAAAATTAGATCAGGCAGGATAACGTTATAATCTTTTTAGGAAAAAAAAAATAAATTTTTATCGATTCTTGTACTTTTCCTTTTCGTTGTTTTTGTGTAATGATGACGAATTAATTCTTTAACTTGTGTACCAATCTGTCAGCGTATTTTCCCGTTTTCTCTTCGGTTTTACGATCAGTAGGTGATGCAACGCGCGCCATGCTGACCTTGATTATCAATAAGGAAAAATCGATACATAGAATTAACGAGAACGCAGTATACAATGCCTTCCTCGAAGAACACAGAATTATAAAAGATATTCCGATTGCCTGCGTATAGACTTTTTACGATCGAAACTCTCTCTAATAATATCAGCAGCTGCGTTCGACACTTCGGAACTACATTGTATAAGATATAAAAAAAGCAACGGTAGAGATAAGAAATCGCACGAAATCCTCGACAGCAGGGATGTATCAAGCATTCGACGTGTGCGACGATGAAAAGAGACTTCTAGAAACTCAATTAAATTTTGTTTGATAAAATTACATTCAAATTTAATATGTATCTGTTATGTTTTTCCCTTTTTTTTTCTTTTACTTCATCGATTTTGACATTAAATAACCGATACAAAGCGAAGCAGTTGGCTTGCAGCAGTTGCAACATGATTGTTATATATTACATCAGCCATCGTACGTGAAATACCAAATCAACAGCGACAGTTGGAATGGATTCCTTGCATTTTGCTCAGCTCAGAATCGAGCGGCGATTTCGGTTGGATGTACCGGATGCGCACTATGTTCGCCAAAGTACATAAACGCGTTTCGACCGTTATACGCCGCCGAGTAAAGTAATAAGCTTCGTCGAAACAATAACGGTAAGCTTCGCGTTAGCATTTGCGTATGCATTTTATTGGACGCCTTTACATGTCACGCACACGCGTCTCGCGTCGCGCGTTTTCCGCGTGCCAGACGTCGAATTTACCGTCGGGGTGGTGCGCACACCAATAGCAGGTGCAGAAGAAGACCACGCCGCACGTGCCGAGGCGCGCGGAATCGGGCGATACGGGCCTGAAGTGGTCAGCGGCGCGGCCGGCCAATGAGTGGAGGCGCGCGGCGGCTGCGCGAGAGGCGCGGAGCGCGCAGTAGCGAAAACGTGCACGGGTCCGGCGACACGGTTGCGGGTCCGTCCGCACCATTCGGGCGCGGCGAAACGGGCGGTCTGCGGAGGTGATCATGTAAAAAGGGCCGCGACAGCGGCGGCGGCGGCGGCGGGCGCTAAACCGTGAGTCCGTGACTCTCCGCGGGCGAATCCTCGTGCGACAAGGCGGGTCGTGCCGGTGCGCTCCGGCTGCACCTTCTGCACGCGCAAAATCGGAGCTCTCGCGCTCCTCTCTACGCCGTATATTATCGCGTACTCCGCACATACCGTGCGCGCGCGCGCATCACGCACACATACGGATACGTTACGTACGTACGTCTCGCGGGTACACGCGCGGAACGGACACACGTGTGCGCGTACACGGAGCGCGTGAGCGACGGAGCGCGAGAGACGTTTCCCGACGCGGATATGGGCGTACCGCGTTACCGCGAAATGCGCGTCGATTGAGCGGATCCCGGAGCTCGTTCCCGATCGTGTACGTCCAGCAGAAAACGACGATAACGGTGACAAGTGCGCGGCGCGTAAGAGCGAAGGAGACAGAGACAGGGACAGAGAACGAGAGAGAGTGAGTGAGTGAGCGAAAGAAGGACAGAGCGAGAGGGTATGGAGAACGCCATGCAGCCGCTACTTCCACCGCCACCCCCACCCGCTTTCGACATGCCACGGAGCAGCACGGAGCAGACGGTCACCCACGAGTTGATATTTGGTACGTCCACGTCTGCTAGTTGCTATTTGATTTCCGTCACTTTGCATGCCTGATGTAGTAGGTGTCAAAGGTCCCGGAGATCGAGACGCGATCGTATACGCTCACGCGGAGAGCAGATCCTTTCTATACCGTCTTCGCTCGCGAGTCGAGCGGTAGGCCGCCGAAATCGCAATGAGCTTCGATATCGTTCTACGAGAGTCTTTACGGTATAATGCTTTATCGTCGTCGCCGATATCGGGTCGTTTCTCAATGCCATCGACGCTGCCCGAATATATGTTGCGTTACGCAATCGGCAATCGTTAATTGAAACGCGTCGCCATCGTGGGTATACTTTTTTTGTACTTTGACAACGGCCGTAGGGTGATCGAGAAAATATCGGCGCGTGTCGCTTTATAGACATACTTATTCGAACGAATAACAGTAGCGCCGTCGACGTATAGCGCCGCTGGCCGGCATACACGCGCGCGGACACGGCATATAAAATTAAAACTTGCGACGATCGAGGGAAGTTTTTGCGCCGGCTCTCTCTCTCTCTCTCCGGCCTCCTCGTCGCTTGAAAATCCGTTCCCGTCTGAAAAAGAGAAGAGGACGAGGAACGGAAAAAGAGACGACTCCTCTCGCCGTTCTCTCGGCGTGACGCGTTCACGGGATCACCAACGCGCGCGCGGCTTCCCGCCGCTAGATAAATAGGCTCTCTCTATATTTAACCGTGCAGCAGTATGTAAACATAATCGGCCAGCCATTCTAGAAATTAGGTCTGATCTGTCAAAAACACTGGTACCGTCGCCAAAAATCATTCTCTCGCGTTCGCGAGAGTCTGGCAGGGGCAAAACTCTCGGCCCGCGCACGTTTCGACGACGAGTTTCGGATGAGCCGTTCCGTGAAAATAAGTCTGGTCTCCGAACGTTGGCGACTGAGATTTGTTAAGCTATTTCTCTCTTCCTCTTTCTGGTATTTTCCAATTTTTTTCCAAATCTGTCAAATTAAGAACACGTTCGTCGGTTCGTCGAAAGTTGATACACGATTGTTTAGACTACCAATACCGCCTGCCTTGCCTTACTGTCTCGATAAAAGACTTTCCTTTCGTCATTATTTTTACAGGATGAAATGTCGGCCTCAATGGGTCGTTGAAAACCCTGCTCTTTCATCTGTTAATTGTTACAAGAGTTCATTCTTCGCGTCACCTTATTCCTCTTACTTTATGCGCTATATCTTGTTGACAGCGATCACAGGCTTAAGTGACCTGATCAATAATTTTAAATACTTTCCATGTCCTTAGAAAAGAATTCTGCTGACAGACAAAAAATACCTTTCCTCAACAATTAGTTAAGGTTTTTATCCATTTTAATGTTATTTAGTCTTCTCATACCTGACGTATCTGAAAACGTCCCTCTGATCCTTTGAAAGTGACCTTGTCAAGTCGTTTACGTAACGGCAAGAAAAGAAAAATGGAGAAAGTTATTGATTTAACACTTTCCTCGAGCGTTTCCATCCCCAAACTGTAGATAATACTTAAATAGTTGGACAATCGTTGGTCGGGAAATGCATTTTAAGGTCGACGGCTGGAAAGTTATCGATAGATTTTTCATGGCAATATACTTATTTGATATTTATGCGTCACGGTATATTTAGATTGTTGTAGTCTAGCGCGGAATTACACACAATTTTTTAGATATTATACTCGCATATCATTAAAGTGACGTAAAATCGCAAAGAAATACTATGAAATTGTTTATCACAAAGCGGCTAAATATATATATATACATGAGCTTAAACTAGGAAAACATTGTTGTTTGTAGCTTCATCATGAAAATATTATCGTTTTATCTGCATCTCTCATGACGTCTCGATTTTTTTTATTATAGTTAAGCATCTCGCAATTTCTTTTTTGTATATTATTTTCTTCAAAATTGTATGACATAGTGCTGAACGATATTAAATACTTGTCTCGTTTAATTTTCATTTAGCTGTACAATCGTGGACACATCGGTTGCGACACATTCTTTTTTTATAGATTTCAAAACGCACTAATATTTTGCAAATGCGGACCACGATTGGTGTTGTACTGTCTCTAGACTAAAGATAGTAACATCGTGGTTCGCATTTGCAACATATTAGTTATCTATAAAGTACATATTATGTATATTAAATATATATTAGAAACCTATAAAAAAAGTGTCGCAACCGATGTGTCCACGACTGTACAAATTTATTAATATTAATATATATATATATAACTACAAGCCGTTAAAAAATTCTTTTACTGTTAAGCTAACTAAATCCAGTACTGTGCAATTAGATTGAGGGTTCGATTTGGTAAATTTTAATTACCGCGGTTATTTTATTTCAAGCGTGTGTACTGTATGCCATCTTGAAATAAGAAAGAAATAGAACGAATACATGAGATACAATCAAATCAAGTATACGAGTACTATCGCTGTCGTTAACGCGATACCGTAATGCAGTGTAATATTACATCGTGGACCGGCGCCAATGATTAGAGCTCGGCGCGATATCTCGTTGCGGTTTTTAACGTCGTGGCCGATTATTTATTCAACAACAGATACGATGTGCCGCCACCTGTTAAAATGCATACGAACTCGTTGAGAAACATTCCGCGTCGTTCCTCTCTCTCTCTCTCTCTCTCTTCTCTCTTGCCGCCGCCTCTCTCCGCGCTTTCGCTCGCCTAGATCTTTCTTCAAACATTTTTTTTTATACACTTGACATTTAATTTTAAATGTTACTTGAGCGTCATGCGGACGTCATTTATTATTCGCAATTGTTCGACAATTACGAGGTTTCTTTTTTTTTTACGAACGAACTGTACAAAGAGACGAAGGAAGCTGCGAAGTCACGGAGTGATTCACAACACTCGTCGTTTCTAGGAATCGTAACTCTATATTTGGAAATTAAAAGACGGTAAACAGCTAATCGAAGCTGAGAAAATAAGCGTTTGCTGATGATGGAGTGCAGTGGAATGGAATATCTCAAAGTTGATTCTTGACCCTGAATGTAATTCGTTTTATTTACTTTAAGAAATTGTTTTGTGATGACTCACATTGCGATCTAAAATTATTTACGAATTTCTCTAATTTCGCTAAATTTACCTGAAAGGTATCATCGTCTATTTTCTCAATAACTTTATTTACATTTCGCGTACGGTATTTACAGTGATGGTAGTCAGTAATGGTAGTCAAACACATTCATGCTTGGATCTTCTTGTTCCTGTCGGGAAAATAATATTATTATTCGAGAGATAAAATTACAACTTTCTAACATATTCAATTACAATTTCCTAATATATAATTCTTATAATTATTTCTAATATATAATAAATATATATTATCTGATATGCTTAATTTTCCGTGTTATATTCTGTTGTCACTTCCAGTGTGTTTGGCGAATTAGGCGTTTCAGACCGCAGGAGAACCCTGTTTGTTATTTTTCCTCGCGAAAAAGATACAAATGACCAAATGACGATATAATCACGCTGTTATCATCACAAAACAAGATTAAATCGTTTGGCTTACGAGCGCACCCGCGAATCCTGTTTCGTCCTCGTCCGAGAACGAAAAAACATCGGCGCGAAGCCGGTCGCCACACGTCTTCTGCGTCGTCGGGTTTTCGATAGGCGCGATATCGTCGGAGCCGGTTCCACCGACGTTGGCGTCCCGGAGACAAATCTGTATGAATATCATCCAATCGAACGTCGAAGTTAAATCGCGACTTTTAGCCACCGAAGTTCTCGAATCGGACAAGTTCGCGAAATGTCGAACTGACCAATTCGATCTTCGTTCACCCCGTTTATGTAATTAATTCTATTCTAGTATACCGTTACAATTGCCGTCATTGACATAAAAATATTTAAACGTGAAATATCTGCATAATGGAACGAAATTCTTGTCTGCTAAAAAATTTTAAATATGTACCTGTTTTTTAGTTTATCGAAAGGAGATTTGCATTGACGCTCGTTCATGAAAATTCGTAAATAATTGCATGGAACAAATGTCAATTTTTATTAACATTTTGTATTTATTGTAATTCATTATTATATATAACAATTAGTTTCATTATGATTTTTATATGTATAATTTAATTTTAAGGTACTTATTTAAATTGTGCATATCACAAACTTAATATAGAAATCACGAAAATTTTTATAATTATTCGAGCAGAATAAATCGAAAGTTATATATATCTAAAAGGGAAATTTCATACTAACATGCTACTATTGAAGCCCCATGAAATATTTACGAAAGGTCAAAGGTAAGCTAGTTCGCGCACGATGATGATTTTCTGAACTTTAATCCCGTGCGTTTGAACATCGGAGCAGAGTGCATATTATCGATTTGTAAATTTACAATTGTAAGCTACGAATTGAATAGTTCTGTGTGCCTTTGCAAAGAATTGTAATATTAAATGTTTCTCATAAATTTTTCATATTTTTACCGTCGAAAATGTGATTTCTTGTACCAATAAAAAATTAGTTTTAGAATCTATTACATTTTCTTCAGGAAAATGTATTATATTATACATTTTATATTGTTTACATAACAATTTGTCATGCTAAACGTCAATAATTCTCGCATCAAAATGCTCGTATTTTTCTTTTCAATTTTGTCATCCTACGAGCATTCAAATTCGATTGTTTGAATTAGTGAATTTTTGAAAGGAAATCGCATCGAGACGCAAAACTTTAACAAAACATCAGCAACTAGTTTCGGTTGTAAGACAGTATTTCTAAAGTTTTTAAGATAACGGCTTATTTTACTTGTTTGCAGTGCGTTCGAATAGACAATTTTTATGTAGTATGCGTATATCGTTCGTGAGTCAACAATCATTCCGAAAAAGTATGTTAAAGACAAAATTAGTGCTTTGTGATATTGCTCGACGCATTGGTATTTTTCAAACACATACAATTACGTCCTAAAACTTTTTGAATCTTGTTTCCATAGCTAATCAAATTTTTAAAAATTTAATTGGCTAAAAAATAAGATTCTTATTTTTAATTCCTTTTTTAATTTTGTATTTCAATAATTACTTATTTCAATTATTAATACTTTAATAAAATTATTTTAAAAAAATTAGTGTAAAAATTTCTGTTATCTTTTGAAAAATACCATGTAGTTTTGAATTCTCTTGGAATTGTCTTTTGTTTTAGCTGAAAAAATAGCTATTGTCAAACTTTATTTATAAAAATATTTATAAAGTCCCTTTTTTTAACTATTTTCCTATAATAATTACTTTTGCTATAATATCCGATTAAAACTGACGATATTGAATAAGTTATTTTCAAAATTTTTTTACTTTACATAACAACTTTTACATTGTAAAAAAGATATGTAAAATTATACGAAAAATAAATGTTAAAGTCACACGATTTATAAGGAAATATATTTTATTTATGAGCAATTTTACATATCTTTTTTTTAACAGTGTATTCAGTATACGGCGGCATATCTTTCTTTCGGCTAATTAAATTAATTGCACGAAGCGATGTACAATATTGAAGTCAATGCGCAGCGCCACAGGGGCCAGTGGGTTATCCGCTTGTGAGAAACGCGTGAATTCCGCGTGCTAGCGTGCGATACTTTTACTGATATTGATTTCTTACCGTACACGACTACGGTACATTTACGCGTAACGATACCCGTTACGTTTAATTTCGGTTTTCCCGAAGTTCCTTGCCACATCGACGTCGGGGAGTCGCGTTATGTAACCACGGGGCGCGACGTCGCGCTAGAGCCGCGCCTGAGGAGGGGGCCTCGGTGTTTTCCAAATCAGCTGTTAGTACTCCGCCGGGTGGCGGGAGAGGGAGGGTGGAAACGGGGTGGGGTGGGTGAGAAACGCGGCTCGTGTAGGATCCGTCGGTCAGGTTCTTCAGTCCACAACGACTCGACGCGAGGAGTACACGTCGTGCGGATTCTCGTTCGCGCTTCGTGTAATTCGCGTTACAGTACGTACGCGCGACGGACGCGGTAATCTCGTCGCAGTGTCGCGCGTATACGTTCCTTGGAGACAGTTAAGAAACAGGCAATAAAGATCAAGATCGACAATAAGTTTCCACGACACCGAGACCCACGTACTTTCGCGCGAGGACACGGATTCTTGTTCGCGTTATTGAAACGCGGGTCATTTCGAGTGAAAGTGTAAAGTTTTTTTTTCCTAAAGCGGGACTAAATATGACGAAGTTTCTGAAATCCACTGGCATTGCTCCTTTCAACGATTTATCCCGGAGGTCACAGGCGCGAAATCGTACTTTATGTGCAAATCAAAGCTAAAGTAAATAGAATTTCATGATCAAAAGAGGTCTAAGTATTGGCTATGTTTGCAGTGATGTGAAATGCATATTATATGAATTTTCTTTGCGAATATCAATTTTTCTTTTTCCTAAGAGAAACAGAATTAGTGCGGATATCTATATCATTACACCGCACCTGCAATGATAAAGAATTTTGACTGAAAACGCCGGGATTATATATTATTATCATTTGAATTTTTACTTGGTTTGCCTCTGATTGAGTCATTTTTAAGTCAAATAGGAGAGTGTACGTCGGTCTCTTGTAGAACCGTCTTTCGCTGCGTGAAAGGAAACGTTCGGAAACGCCGTACACTCGCGACCTTCGATCCCGGAATTATTCCACATCAATGACGTATCCGTCAACAATATCATCGTCTAGTTCGACAATACTAGAAACGCGACCCAGAAACTGATACCTGATGAGAACTTGTGTTTCAAGTGGAAATTTCGTGGACATCGAGTGAAGAACGTGGAGACTCGTTCGCTCAGTTCTCAGGCCGATAAAAAGTACGTCAACACGTCGCGACCGGGTGGTACGATTAGGGCTCGCACCCGACGTCTCGCGACGAGCGTTCCGAAGTGTGTGTATACCGCGGGCATTGCCAGTCGACCGGCTACTCGACGAATGACATTCCCTCTCGCCGTGGAAAACGGGGCGAGATATTCGCGAATCTGGTCAAGGCCCGCCCAGCTGTTCGCCGACTGATCGTGCGAACAGAACCGACTGCGAGCGTGTCGTCCGCGCTCTGCTCGGCTGCACGGTACATAAGTGTGTCAGTAGGATAACCGACGACATTTACGTTTCGTTTAACGGACGCTTCTGGCCGGGATCATCGCGCGGACCACGGCGTTCGGCTGGCTTCCGTGCGGACAATTAAGCACGTCCTACGGCGCGATCAGCGACCAGCTGGGTCGGTGTGTTTACGTTTAAAGACACCACCGACCTTCGGCGTGCCGCGATAAATCGTGCTTATACTCACGTGGCACACGGCCCGTAAAATATTTCATGAATACGAGACAATGTGACTAAACTCGAATCACCGTTGTATATTCGTGAGGATAACGACAGCAGCGACGGTGTACGACTTATATCGTTACGCGAAAAGTTTGACCTTATGTCGATCGCCGGGATACAGTTCCCCCGGCCTCTTTCTTCTTGCTCTTTTTTTGTCTTCATTCCCGCCGACATTGCTCGCGCCGCGACGACAGTGACGTACGCAGCACGCACGTCGTAACCGTCCCTCTCGGGCCTCCCGACGTTTCGCGATGGAGGAAGAGGAGAGTCTCGTGACGAGCGACTGCGGTATTTCAATCCCGTCGAAAAAGGAGAGCGGCTACTTCGAGGAGAGCTGCGGCGACCTGAGCGACGTCATTTTCAGTAATTACAATCACTACGGGGCGCTCCTCAGCGTCGACACCGCCGGCATCTTGATCATCAACGAGGCCAGACGGTCGGACCACTGGGAGGAGAGCAGGAAGGGATCCTCCTTTTCCTCCGGCCTTGTTGAGGACATAAACGACCTAGATGTTAACGACTCCGACGAGGCTAGAGACGACGTCATTGAGATACCTACAGACGCTAAGCGCGACGTCGTCGGGGGCTCCGAGGTAGTCGTTTACGGTCGCGAGGGCCCCAAGGGGCTAGCCTGTACCCGCGAGGACTCCTCGACGGCGATCCTCTGCATTCGCGAGGACTCCGAGAGACGCGCCAACCCCGCCAAGGCGCCTGTCCGCGTCCACGAGGACTCGAAAGCGGTCCTCTACGTTCGCGAAGACTCCAAAGCGGTCGTCTACATTCACGAGGGCTCTGAAATCATCGACTGCACCGGGGAGGATGTCGAGTGTGCAATGAGCCCCTCCGTCATCATAGACGATTGGAACGACGTGGAAATATCTGACACAGGTAAAATGCATACCTTCTGTTGATGATAAACGACGTTTTATCGTCGTCGTGCGGATCCTTTTCGTCACTCGTACTTTAAATACACGTCCGGCGATTATGCGATAATTCTTTGGTCGGATCGCAGGCGTATTATGATATTCCTCGATAGTTTGAAAAACAACCGTCTTTCATGCTTCGCCTCGTTGTTAAACTGAAAAATAGATACGATAAATTAAAATAAATGGAAGGAAAAACAATGCAGTATTTTTAAGACCAGGAATTTATGCTGACTATAGCGAATGTACCGTGCATGATATTTAGCAATGGCTTCAACAGGTCGTAAATACGGCTGATACATTAAACCGCAGGCTTCTTAAGACCCATTACGTATCGATCTGACCGTTTAACATTTCTCCGTTTGTTATTGGGTTGCGGCATAGCAATCGCTCGTGATATTAAAAATTCATAATTTCAAATTATATTTGTTGTGTTATTTTTTTGCAGACGATTTAATTCCCCCAAAGAGAAACAGATATTTTTCTATTTATTTTTTTTATTTTTTACTATTTAATGGTTTTTTATTTATCTTTTTTGATGCTAAATTACTAAACACGTGTAGAATATTTAAAATAAAATTTACAATTCAGACTTTGATGATTTATTAACACGATTGCAGATATCGGTTTAAGGCCAAAATATTCCAAGGCTGTTTAAAGAATGATAATTTAGTATAATTAAAATCAGTTAAGATTTAAAACATTTGAAGCTTATTTTATACTCTATTATAATATTTTATTCTAAGAATTCGACTATTCTTTTCAAATTATATTATAGATTTAAAATTAGATAGCTTTTTTAATACGTAACGGCACATCTCACGTTTAATACATCACATTAACATGTTTATGCGAACTATCAATTAAGATATTCTTTAATAAATTTGTCTAGAATCTAGAAAAATTTTTATTTTTAAGTTTTAATGGTCTTAAAGTTTAAACTGAATCTTTAACTATGAAGATCTGTTCAATGTGATTTTTGTCCTTTATTTTATGCTGTTATAATGATCCGCCAAAGATACGTATTTGGATGTGAAAGACGGCACATCAAAAATGGTTCTTATATACAGATAAGTTAATGTGTATCCATCATTTAGACCTAATGATGGATACACATTAACTTATTTGTATATAAGAACGCATTTTTGATGTGCTGTTTTTCATATCCAAATACGATCTTTGGCAGACCATTATAGCAGCGTAAAATAAAAGGCAGAAACCACATTGAACGGGTCTTCATAGTTAAAGATTCAGTTTAAACTTTAAGACCATTAAAACTTTCGGACAATTCCTATCTATCATTAAATATTCGAGAGCCTTAACTAAGCAGGCAAAAACGGCGGTTCCGTTAAACCGTAAGATGTCTTCAAGTTATTTTTATTGTGAAAATCTCACCACACACACGGGTAGTCTAATATGATACAATCAACTTTATGAATGTAAAGGATAGGGATACGTATAGGAGATAAAATTTTTTTGTGACTAAAGCAAAAAGGAAGAAAGATAAAGAGAAAGTGTAGATGTAACAATATATTTCTGGCAAACGTCCTCCCTGTTTTCAATAATAGGGCAGTCTTCACATTTGGAGCAAAAAAACCAAAATTTTATCCCCATAATTATACTCCCATAAATCTATGTACATAGGATATATATATTCTATGACTTTCACAATGCTATTCTTAACTTTCTCAATGACAGATATTTTCAGATTCCTTTCTTCTTGAGATATTTCCAATCTTCTATTATAGTTTATTAAGTATATAGTTTATTAAGAAAATCTGCATTGTTATATACTTTTCTAACGTTCACTATGCCTGAACATGTCAAGATCAATATCTATAAGTTTACTGTACTCCCTTATTCAGATTCGTTGACGTTTCGACGACGATTCGAAATTTTTTCTTTGTCTTGGCATGTACGATTTTTCCTCAGACGCAAGCGTACACAACGGTGCTTTTCTCGACGAACTTTTCTCCGACGCGAACACAACATAATGCGGACTTCGACCTTACACTTTGCGTTGCCGCGCGCGACATTGTCCTTCATGCGTAAAGATCTTTTCTTCTTTTATAGATATTCGCGTTTATTCTGAAGAGAAAGAGGAAAAGACAGAATGAGAGAGAGAGAGAGAGAGAGAGAGAGAGATCATGTTTCGAAAGAGAAAGATCCTTTCGTATTGATTGCGCTAAGTGTGACGAAAATATCTTCTCAAAACACATTATAACGCGTAACTCCCGTTCCCCTCCCCCCCCTCTTCTCGCACTTAAAATTCACCGAGACATTCAGCAATCAATTATTATTTTTTTATCAACATCCACTCGTTTTCTTTTCTTCCGCTCACAAACGTTACCCGTACCTGTTCCTGGAGCAGCACACTAAATCATCATCCGATCATCGTTTCTCCGCGCGCCGCGTCACACGCTCTTTCATATTAAAAAAAACAAATAAATAAACAGATTCTTTATTCCCTAATACTTGCGGCAGTTCCGCATACGTTCTGTGTATATACGTGTTTTTAGCGAAAGGGTGAAGAGTTAATATCACGGCAGGAAGGGGGGGAGATCTTAATCACTTTCTCCTGCGGTATATACACAACGGGACACGGATACGGCTGAAACGCCGCAGGTTTTGTGCGCTTTCGAAACCGGCCGTGTTGTACCTCTTCGCGATCGAAGGGAAGCTCGTTTTTAAACGTCTCTTGATACGACGTTTTTTTAATTTTATAAAATATGGCACGAGAGCTTTTAAAAGAGAGAAAAGAGAGAGAGAGAGAGAGAGAGAGAGAGAGTTATTTTCCACGTCGATAATTTTATATCCAATTCAATGCTCGTTCGACATTTCCACATATTCGAGGAGGCTGCGGACGATGTCGATAATCGGCACAGAAATGTCTCGTTTCGTATTCCGCCATCCCGCGTGTGCGCAGTGTGTCTACTTATAACGAAAGAGTTGAAAACTCCGTCAGCAGCTCCCGCGCCGCGTTTCTTTGAGCGCAAACGAGTTAATCGACATGCGGAAAGGTGGTAGCTCATTCTCTCTCTCTCTCCTCGCCGTTCGCGCTCGCTGAACAACCGTACCGCATCTGCAAGTGTGTGTTATGGGAGAGCTAAAAATAAATCGCTATTATCAATGAGTAACGAGAAGCTGAGTATCGAAAGCCAGCGTGAAAATATCCAATTACAAACGACGTGCAACGGACGGACGGTTTTTTCATGGGAACAGCCTCCCCTTTCTCCTCCGCCTGTCCTTGTTCCGGAGATAAGCCGTCGTTTATTATATAACGTTTTACGCTGTCGTGAAAATATAATACAGGTACTTGCTGCTGTTTATGAAACTGTTTATGAAAGTCAGATCGATCTTGTAATCGGAGATAAGAGCGACGGCGGCGAGTATATTTTACGCTTGACACATTCGCGCAAATGCATTTTCCTCCGTCGCGTATGTCCCGATTGAGAATCATGGAAAAGAAGTCGTATCACGTAAAAGAAGAAATATATCACGCGTCGTTAAAAATAAGCGGGCAGATGTGGCATGTGTGTGAATATGACACTCCATACAACCACCATTTCTGGTGCTCAGGGTCTCTCTTTGGGACACTCGATAAAATAAGAATCGGCATTTTTCGGGCGTATTTTTCTTTTCTTTTGTGTAAAGCGTTAACGTGGTCGGTCGGTGTACGCGGATTTTCGTGGCACCAGAAACGTACCGGTTGTATTTGGTACAAACTATACGTGAAATTAAAGAGAAATGATCAACGTGTACGCTGCAAACACACATACTTGACAACAAGTACCTGGGCGAAAACAATCGTTCGAGAGCTGCTGTTTTCCAAAGTTTCGTAAAACTTCGACGCAACGGCATTCACTCACGTTGTATATTGTATGTACGGGCCACTTAATATTGCAAGCACAAAACGATTGCGATTTGGAGTGCCCATCGATAATACGACATGTAAAGAGTCTCTCAGTTACATGACACATCTAGTTAACAAGAATGATTGCCTCTTTTCTCTCTCTCTCTCTCTCTAGCCGAACATTAACGATTTTCTGATTCTACGAAAATAGGAAAAAAATAGAAACTTGATAAACATGTAAAAAATGTTGTTTACAAAGCGGTAAAGGACTTTCTAGGTAATCTATATGAACAGATCTTTAATAAGAATTTTTTATATATTGATAAAGATATAATTGATGACTCTTGATTGATTTTCTTACAACTTTCTTGTCGAGATTGTTTCATGATATTTAAAGAATTGCTAAGACAAAGTTGAGTAAGTAAGTTAAAAATTAGTTAAAAATAGATTTGAAATAGGTGAGAGACATTGTTCAAAATATAGATTAGATATCTCGTAATTAAGGAAAATTCTCTAAATTGATTAAGAAATTCGTGAAACAAACGGCGCGATTTGTTTGCATATTTACACGGATATATGTACCTGCTACGTGCCTATATGAAAAGAATTCTCGGAAATAAAAGAAGAATTCCGTGAAAACGAGTCGAGATTGGACACGTAATTGCGAATGAGCGATAGATAGTTCGTGCTGGATGGCCGTGAGAGATAGGTCTTAATAAACAAAAAAGGAGAATGCAGCAGCTTCCACGTGGATGCCGGAAAAGCATAACGCAACTGACTCGATCAATCTCTAATAACGTGTGCCTCATACGGGACGTGAGTTACCGATACAGAGGATTCAAACAGCTGTTGTTCTATAAATAATGCAAGGCTGCTTAAGAATAAACCGGTGAGTACCGGCGTGAAGCGATGAGTTCTGCATTTCCATTTTTTCATGTTATATTTTTGGAAAAATATTTTTATGTACCTATACTTTTCCTTGCGCTCCACGCGCGGCCGCACGAACCGGATGTAACCGATAACAATGCGTCTGACTGACTTTTTATATCGCAAATTGAAATTGAAATATATTGAAGGTAGATGATCTCGCGGTAGATTGAACATCGAAGGTT